TCCAATTTGATTGCATTTTTTCATTCGAGGGGACACCAGGGGACTGTTATGTCTTTTCTTGCCATTTACGTGTAGCAAAAGGCACCTTGCTATAATTTTACTACTGCGCATCACTGCCCAAAAAATTTTCATCTAAATTCATGCTACTTAAATGCCTTCATCATCTATCAGAAAAACAAATTAACATTGCTTCAAATTTTGTTTGTAAGAAGCATAAAAATGCTTGTATTTTCAATTTTTGATCAATAAAACTACCTCATATTTCCTGGCTGCTCAAAATTTTCAAAGAAAAATGAAGCTTGAAAATCCCATTTTCTGATTGGCTGATTTTGAGAGACTGTGCTACATCGGTGACTACATAAATCAAAAAGGCAATGCCTATTTTGGGATAAGGAACTACATAGCTTTCATATTTATCAATAAAAAACCCAATACAATAAAGTCACCAGATACTATTTTGAAACGTCATCCGCCACTGTGCACTGCTTTGACTAACCCAGCTGGAGGTTAACCAATTGTGTCAACTGTTCAAGGTTGCTGTGAGCTCATTGGCATGGTTGCAAGCATTTAATCTTGGGCTCATCCACTCATACGCACGAGCAGTTCTCTTACACATGTGTGTGCATGTGCGTACATACGTCACTTTAGTATATGTGCTCAAGGTGACCCGGCAAAACCATCTCTTTATATACCATAACTTGCACGCATGTTCTCACTTCTGCGATTACAGTCCCATACTTGGCTCACTTCATTCGTATCCAAACGGTTTTTTTTTACTTATTTGTTATAACTACATCCGTTTCCTCGTTTATCAAATTTACTTCCCAATTAACTACTACCATTTTAGCTTTAGTTGAATTTTTTAAACTTAACTTTTTTGGACTTCAATCCCCTTTTGATATAGTTACATACATTTTTGGGATCCCTCTAACCAGCCTATGTTTAAACTACACATATTTTTTGCACTCAAAAAACCTACATACCTTTTATTACGTTTGCCTTTTTAAAATTGGTTAAAATGCCACCTAGGAGAAGAAAACTTTTTGGACGGTGCACAGCTGCTGCTTCTGCTACAAGAGCAGTAAGGGCAAGTGAAATCACAGAGCAAACTTCGTTGTGCCTTTCTCAAATGGCCTCACACTCTGCTGCCCACATCTCCATGGAAAGTACCACTGAACGAACCGAAAGACTGGCATCAGTAGCATCAGTTATGTCATCACAATGTGCTAGACTTTCAACTGAAGAGTGTTTAGTACAGAATTCACAGGACGCAATGCTTCTAGGGCCAGGGCTTCCAAGTTCGCAACACAGACAAACCTTCGGCGTTTAAGGAATGCCAGCACTACAGCATGTTCTAGAGCTTTAGAAAGCCCTGAACAAACCATTTTGTGTTGTCTTAGGAATGCTAGGGCTACAGTATCTTTCAGGGTTTCAGAACAACCCCAACAAACTGCTATTCATCATTTAAGAAATGCCAGTGCTACTGCATCTGCCAGAACTTTAGAAAGCCCTGTGCAGACCGCTAATCATTGTTTGAGGAATTCCAGATCTACTGCATCTGCCAGAGCTTCAGAAAGCCCTGGGGTACAGTAAGCATGGCTCAACAACAAAGGCCAAATTGCAAGGACAGACACTGAGCGTCACAGGTCAGCATTTAGGTGAACAGTGTTTCACCCATGGACAGCTTTACGTAGGCTGCTCCTTAGCCGGGAGTAAGGATAACGTTTACATTTACTCTCTAATAAACAAAGCTAAAAATATTACCTATGCAGAAGTCCTACAGCCCATGTTCGGTCATGTTTAAACGCAATGTACACATCTTTATGTCAGCTGCATCATAGGTTCCTTCATTTTTGAACCCGGTTTATTTAAAGGTCACCATAGTATCCACTTTTGCCATTAATAAGACATTTCATTAAAGGTTGTCTTGCTCACCAGATGCTACCTTATCACTTAAACCCCACCATAGCTGCATTCACGCTTACATGTCAACCACATAACCATATTCAGTTGCAACACAAAACCAATATGTGAGAAGGTGGATTCATTGTCAGAGAAGTTGAGTGCGTCCATGCAATTCAGGCCTCAGCAAAAAGAAGTGGGATAATAAAAGAATAGCAGCATGCAGAGTTATAATATGCATTCTCTTCCATACACTGTTGGTGTGTTTCTCCCTTAACCACTAGGTAACACTACATGCACTTCATGCTCACCTCAACTGGCTATTAAAACTACTAAAAAATTTGTGCCGCTTACAAGTACTCGCCCCAGCACTTTCCCCTACTTCTGTTATTTGGTTCTGTTTGCGGTAGTGGCAGTGCCGTCTTTTGGGCAACAGACGTGTCTACCTTTCACACTATTGCATTTTACTATGTTGCAACTGGCACAGGGCTTCATGTAATGTCTTGCACTCAGGGATAATAAAACCATCCCATTGGAATACAAAGCCATCTGCCACAACTCACCTAAAACTTCTTAAGGTCCGTGTTCATATTGAACTTGACAACTTTTAATTGGAGGTGTCTTAGTAATGGCAAACGACTGATGCTACCATGGCTGTCCATTGCTTCCTTTTAAGCCTTACAATTTTTTCTTTCGTTGTGCTGATGAATACTGACAACTTGTGTATATTATGTTTTTTACGTGGGTGGCCATCAGTTCTACTAGACTTCAGCCTTACATGCGTGTACAAAATGAGTATGGCAGTTATGACCTTCCATTCAGAGGAAGTTTACTCCTGGGCAACGCTGGGCTTTACTGCTAGTCTACATATATAATGCAAAGAGGAATGTTCATAAAATTTATGAAAATAGAAACATGAAAATAAATATCTGTCTATATTTCTGAGATGAAGTATTGTAATTATTTACATTATTTACATTGTTCAGACTGTTGTCCTCATCTTTATTGTCATATTCACAGCATTTCAGCCATTCTGCACTTCAGCCTTCTTCAAATGATTCCTCAAGGACACATGACCCAGTAAATAAAAGCAATAGTTGGATCCAGTGACTTGACCCAAAGAGTTGTGAGTTCAATACCTGGCTACTGCAGTGGTGAACAAAAACTTAGAGAGTTGAGTTAAAGGGAGATAACTGAGACATCCAGAAGAGGCATGGCACGTGGAACTAGAATAATCTACCCCCATGGATGAAATAAAGGGTTCAGTTCAACATTCCAATCACCTTAACTCTGGTTGTTGCTTTGGATATCTCAAAGACATTTGACAGGGTTTGTCTTCTTTACAAGTTGAAAGGTTATGGTATTTCTGGGTGAATTTTTTGAACTAATTCAATCATGAAATGAAACTTGTCCTGAATGGCCATTCTTCTAGATCTTTTTGCATTAATGCAAGTATTCTCCAGGGCTCTACCCTTGAACCTATGCCATTCCTAATTTTCATCAATGGCCTTCCTGATGTCATCAGTTTACAAATTAGTATCTATTCTGATAACACAACTTTTTACTCTTGTTTTAATAGTAAGTTTGATCAGTTCAATAAAGTCAACTCAGCAGTTGGTGTCAAAAATGAGCTACAATCTGTTAACTGGGGCAAGAAATGGATTGTTAATTTTAATTCTTGTAAAATGAAACTGCTCTTTTTTAATTGTCTGAGAGAACCCTTTTACCTTCCATCAGCATGACTGATGCTAACCTTCAGGAGAGTGACTAATTACACCTTAGGCTAACATTTTCCACTAACATGAAGTGAAAAGATTAAATTGACTCAATTGTTAGGCCTGCTGCTATGAAAGTTGGTTCACTGTGTCATGCTAGACAATTTTTCTCTCCAGAATCTATTTTACATTTATATTCATCTTCAAATATTGCTGCCACATATAGTCTTGTGCACCTTGAGATTCTTGATAAAATACAAAGATGAATCTGCAAAGTTATTGATCATGACCTGGCATCTTAGTTTCAGTCTCTTTCCCACCACCATAACATAGCTTCCCTGTAATTTTTTTTATAAATACTTTCATGGTAATTTTTCTGATGAAATTTCCTCTATGATATATAGACTTTATGAATTTAAATGCAGTACTAGATTGGCAGCTAGGTTTTATCATTTTACAGTTGAAATGACTAGATATAACCATAAGTCTATGCTAACAGTTTCTTATCTCACACTTTTCACTTATGGAACTCTCTTCTGGCTTCTAGTTTTTCAGTCAAGTTTAATCATCAAAACTTGAAATGCAATGACAATCATTATCTTCTGTCTTCTTAATTCCGGTTCTTTTATTGTTCTCTCCCTTTAAGAGTGTTTCTTTTTTTCTTTCATTTTCTCTCACACTCAGTAACCCTTTGGATCTTAATGGCTTTATTGCTTTGCTTGGAGGTGAAATGATTAAAAAGAAATTCAAACAGTCACAAAAGTGTTTCCTTGACTTTACTTGGCAAAGTTTACTATACAGGATTCATTTTGGTATCATGTTGACCTCCATTCATATGAACAAATCAACCACCCCCCCACCAAAGTCTGATGATGTATGTGTTCTTTTATCCTGGATAGAAATTCAGAATCTGGTGTATGAGATAAAGCATTCCCAGGATGTTGCAAAAATAATGCTGATGCTCCAGCATTTTTATTATGCATGTGTTTTAACACATCTTCTTTATTCCTGTAAAACTTGGGGTATCTACTGTAGGAAAATAATCTATATACATATATGAATATATCTGTATACTAATGATGAAAAAAAAATTTTTATTTAACAAACATTTCTTTTTAAATATAATCTCCTTGTCAAGAAATTTCATCTATTTTTTAAAGATGTGGTTTCATATATATATATATATATATATATATATATATATATATATATATATAATGATGTGGTTTTCTATTATATATACATATTTTTCTCATTAACTTGGTGCCTCATGAGTAATTTATGGAATACTGATAATGTCATCTGAGATTTTGTTGTTGTTGATAATATTCTTTTTTCAAAATCCCTTCCAATAAATTTGAATTGTTTTTGTGTATTTTTCAGATCTCATTACCATGAAAGTGATAGATGTTGACTTATTCACAATGAAAATATCCTTTATTCCACACACATGCATTGCCTTTAACTTGTGCTGACCTGTGCAAGTCCTATATCACATATTACAGTTGGACAACATTTTGACAAAATGATTCCCATCAAACTTTTGATGCCTGTTTTTTGTTTTCTCCTTGTTTTATTTCACATATCAGCTACGAGCATGTACAAAACATTCCATGCCAAAAGAAACAAGTTATTGCAACTTGTTCAGGATCCTAAAACACAAGACATTTATGTAGGAGGCAGAAACAAGATCTACCAGCTTGATTCCATGTTGAATCACAAACACAACATAACAGTTTGCAAAAAAAAGTGTCAAGAAGAATTAGACAACAACATTGTTGTACTTGAGATTGTACCTTTCTCAAACTATCTTTTTGCTTGTGGAACGGTTAACCAAGGTGCTTGTGTGAAATACAATCTTGCAAATATTCACAATTCAACTGACTTTTCTACAAACAGAGCTGAAAATTTTGTTGGTAGTAAAACATCCACTGTAGCATTTTTTGCTGCTGACTCTGCATCAAAAACATTTGTTCTGTATGTTGCTATGTCCTATGATGGACGGGAAATTAAATATTTTCCTAAAATAATGTCAGAAAGAATTATATCAAAGTCAAAAAGAGGGCTTTATAACTTGGACTACCGTAAAAGCTATTTGGGTATACCAACAAATAAAGCTATGCTTGATATTTACCCAGTAAAATTCATTTATGGTTTCAAGCATAATAATTTTATTTATTATGTATCTTTGCAAGGACAACAAACTTATATAGGTCGTGTATGTGAAAAAAGTGAATTTTATTATTATGTTGAAATTTCTCTCAAATGTTGGCATGAGAAAACTTCATGGAGCTATGCTACGGCTGCAAAGTTCATCTCTAATAAAACAAATGAGAACCTTGTGGTAACATACTGGAACAAAACTGTGAATATGTCTTTGTTTTGTATTCATTCCATGACAGAAATTCAAAGACAACTAAGAGACACAATCGAGAACTGTTATAAACTCAGCTCCAAAAATTTACCTAAAATCCCATCTTGGATAAAAGCAAATGAATCATGCGCAGAAACGGTAAGGAAAACATTTTTTTTTACTTTCTATTATTTATTACATCAGCTTGTTTTTTTTTTTTTTTTGTTTTTTTTAAAAAGTTTGAGAAGCACATTATGAGCCATTCCAATTCATAATATTCAAGAATATTAAACATTGAATCATGAATGAAAATTAATACCAAACTAACACTTATATTGGTAATATTGAATTTAACAAAAATTGTAGCAGGAATGACTAATTTTTGAATTAATGATCATAAAAATATAAATAGAAGAGCCATCATAAGACTATAACCCCAAAAAAAGAAAATTCTGACATATTGACAGACTTTCATTGTGATTTTTAAAAATACATTAATCAAAATAATGTGAATAATGCTTTATCTAAAAGTAATTTGTTGATAACTGTTTAATTTACTTACAAGTGAGCATTTTAATTTATAAAAGTGGAAAAAAATCTTGTCTGCAATTTTGAGCAGACAAAAGATGCAATTAATTATTCAGAATAATAGTATCCTCATCTTTAAAATGCTAACTAGTCATTTAGTATAATTGTTTAAATCATATAAAATGAATTATTATTATTCAATATAACATTGGCACTTGATTCCTGTTATCAAATATTGATGGTGATACAACTTTTGAATTTCATTCAACCAATACTTGATTTTTTGAAGGCAAAATTATTTTTTTGTTATTGATTTTAGTCTTTTTTCTTTTGTTATTGTTTTTAGTTCCTTTTCTTTTATTATTGCATTTAGTCCTTTTTCTTATATTTTCAGTATGAGGAAAAAATCACAGTTGATACATGTGGATATGATGAACACAATGGCTACATTTCAGGAGTTACACATTTAGCTCCTTGTAAATTTTTTTACACAGAAAAAATTACAGCTATTCAGTCATATGTCTATGAAGGAACCTATATATATATATTGGGCACAAGCAATGGACATCTTTTAAAAATTGTGAGTTTTTCAATTTCCTCTCTTTCATTTATGATATTTTTCTCTTTTTAAATGTTTTTATGTAGAAGAAAAACTGAAAATATTTTCCTTATAAAAATTACCAAATAATTTCCAAAATGCTAACTCATAAACATTTCTTGTGCTCTCATTCAACATGAGAGCACAAGAAATTAAGAAAAATAAAATTTATATAAAATAGTTAAACTTTCGTAAATATTGTCTCAAATTTTAAGATGAGTTATCATTATTCTACAATTTATTCAGACAAGTATCCTTTTTACTGTTGTTTTTATAAATATGTTCCACACAATGTTTTTGGGTATTCCTGTTTGTCTGAAATGATGAAATGAGTCATTTATATAGCATCATATAAAAGTATTAACCTAAATATTGTGATATAAACAACAACAATAGATACTTGTTTGCTAAACATTTGAAGCAAACTTTTGGGCTTTTAAAGATCATTTCTGTAAATTACAAACCCCATTAGTACACACAATAACTTACTGGTCAAATGGAAGATCAGGATTTTATTTGTCTCTTTGTAGATAACCAAATTTAGTCATTTGGTCATCTTCACAACTCTTTTCTAATTTTTACACTTTACTTTTTCAAAACTAGTCAAGACAGAAATGATTATCGTAGATTTTTCTCTTCTTACTGTTTTATTGACTTTGTTGATGCAATCAACACTTTCCTGCTTCAGTATGGAGTTTAATTCACATAACTCAAATCTAGTCTTGTTCAAGTTGTCAGCCAGTTTATAGCTGACCAATGCATTGCGTAACATTTGTAAGCTCGTTGATCACATTGCACTACAAACTTTGAGCTGCTGCTGTCTGTACAACTGTGTTCCAGTTTGGGGCCATATTATGAAAATAATGATATTGAATTCTCATTCATTGTTATGACTAGAGGTTAAGGTACTACAAAATATGCACCCAATACATAATAAATGCAGCAATAACTTTAGTATGGTCAACAAGATATAGAACTTTGATACCAAGAATCTCTTCCATAGCCACACTGTCATTAACGTATCTGGGGAAAAACCAACAATAAGTATTGGTTCAACCTTTTTCTACCTTACAGGAAGCTGGAATGCCCATTAATATTTCTATGAATAATTTGTCTTTTATACTTGCAACTTTAACCAGACAACTTAATTTCATTCCACTTAGATTGTTAATGTGTCTATGCAATTCAGTGGCAAACTAAATGTTTTTCTTTTGTACCTTTACTATCAATTTCTTACAGAAAATGAAAGTAATTTACTATGCCACTGTTTCATAAAATCTCCAGACTCATAGACAATAATGTCTACAAGTTGTGTGATCCTGACACCCTCTGCCACCTATTACTAGGCCATGATTAGATAATATGATTGTCTACTTAGTCATCAGGGGTACGCCTTCACTCAGCTTGGTTGTTGCCTAGGTCCTAGAAGTTGTTCTTCCTGTCAATATATTGAATCTAGAGATCAAGACAAAATCACCCCATAAGTTATGATTCATTAACCAATGAAATCTCTCAGCTTCAGTCAAACTTTTCTCAAGTGGGAGGCTGGTTGAACGATTATCACACACAAATGATTTTTTTAAGTTTTCTTTAAACAAAACTGTTATATTTAACATTAAATTTTGTAGTGAACTACTGCAGAGGGCAAACTGGCTCAGGGTTGCATGCATTTTTTACAATGCTAGAATAAAATAACTTACCTCCAGTGTGAACAAAGATTTTAATGTGCCTTGTGTGTAAACTGTCCAAAGAAGAAAGAAATGGTAGCTTTGTGAGTTATGTTTTTAAAACAGATAAATCCCTGAATCAGATATTCTCTTGCAAGATTATCTTCATGCATATGTAAATTTTGGCTGTAAATGACACATATAAATGGAGAGAACAAAGCAAAAGGTAGAATGGTTTACTGCTGTGTTGAACAAGTTATACATGTCATGGAAAGTGTTTGAGAGGAAACTGATTGTGGGAATTGTTTGCAAGGAAAAACAAAAAAACTTTAAAGCTTTTTTGCTACAAATTTCCAACAACAGTTTTATTTACTGTATCTATACAGAAAGTTATAAATTCAATGAAAATTAATTAAAATTTTGAAGCAACAACATCCTAGTAGTTCTACAGATTAAGCTTTGTCCTGAAATATTGAAGAAAGGGGGTGAAATTTTGTTTCTCTTAAATTCATTAATGTTTTCTTGACAAAGATTGTGTATGTGCATTTATTACAAGTTTTCTTGCAAAACAGAGCAACAGCATTTATTCAGAAAAGGGAAAAAGGTTACAATTTGACACATCTTTTTTTTTTTTCTATAAACTGTCACTACAAGCACTAAACCCAAATTCATTTAAAGTTACCTTTTAGAGCTGCCCACATGTTTTTGTGAATGTTGCCTGAATGTCAAGATAATACATTAAAATTACTCATAAATTTTGCTGACACCGAGTGCATTTTTTTGTATTTGAAAATCAAATTTGTTGCCAGCCATATTTTTTTATTTTTTTTTTTGTGGGGGTAATTTCTTTACCAAGTTTTTTAAGGAAGTATTTTAGGGTGAATATTATTTAAGTAGACATTACTCTGACCATCAGATAACTTCAAGTAACAATGTCAAAGTTGTCCAGCTTCTATTTTTCATGTTAACCTACTTAAGCAAAAGTAGGGTTTTTAGCAGGTGATGCTGAGGATTTACTTTGTTGTGAATCTGTTTAAGTTATCCATTGGTTCAAACCAAGCCCTTCAATCTATTCTCATCTGATTTCATTTCTTGTAACTAATTAACATTTTTGTTACTTTTTGGCAATTTACTTCACTGTCAATTAAATGCAGATTTTCCTTTAGTTTTCTATCCTAAAGTAAAACTTTACATCGCTCATCACTTATTTCAGTGACTGTCTCAATCATCTTTGTGGGAAATCACTCTTACCCTATTATAGTTGTACATTTAAGTTTAATTTTTTTTGTCAGATGAATACAATGTGATCTTCCGAACTCAAGTTTGTTTTTGCTCTTTTCATAGAAGCTTTACTATACATGTCTGCCTGAACCACATCAGCAGGAATATAAGGCAGTGTAACTTGATTTATCAATAGTAAAACTTCTCCATTTCCAAATTTATAGCATCTTTTTAGCTTTCTAAATTTTGATATTTGTTCTAATAATATCTGGCAACATTTTCCAGTAAACATTTATGTTAGCCTTTTTCTGGTTTTCCATTGTCCTAAACTATAGATCACTGAGTTTCACCCCAAACCCTAAAGTATTATATTCACCTAACATTTGATTGCTTAGCACAACATTTGTTAAATATTCTGCTTGGCTATCTTGGGAGTTCTTCTCTACATATGAACATTTTCTGGTCCATTGAAAAGAGCAGCCATAGACTGTTTGGTCTACCATTAGTCCCTAAAGGGTTACATTTTCCATTACAATGATTAAATCTTCTATTTTTCATCATTCTCTTTGAATTTCTACTCTTTCTATTGTTGTATACTCCCCTTGTGCTGGGAGTAGTCTTGGGGTGAGAGTTTGAGGCGATCATAATAAAGTTGTCTTCCTCTCTCCTTTCAGCTGGGTGATCGCTAGTTGGTTTACTTGGAGGTAAAATGAACTTCAACAAAAGTGATTGAAAACTTATCTATTTTATTAAAAATGTTGATGCGTACATTTTTAACTAGCCAGTGGGGTCACTCTATCACCCCTCCCCCACTGGGGAGAAAGTTCCCAAGGCATGAAATAACTACATCTATTGTGTATGACATGTAAAACTTAACTCTCTGAAATACTTTCTATCTCTCTAACATTCCCACATTTGGCTCAGCCAATCTAAATTGAAATTCCTATTTTGTCTACCATCTGACCTTAAAGGTCAGCCTCAGAAGGCCTGAGCCAAAAGATACTGCTACTAAAAAATAATAGTCTGAAACGATTATTTAACATTCCTTACCTAACCATTCATTTATAAATTTTATTTCAACTATTTACTCTAAAATACCCTCTATAATTTTGTGTATGCAAGGCATGCTCCTTACAATTTACGTATTTTCAGATACTATAGTGTAGTCACTCATGAGGGTGACAGGTTATTCCATTACATCTAGGTCAGACTAGTGCTAAGGAAACTAAGCACTGTCAAGCACACAATGTTCATAAATTACATATTACTAAAGAAAACTAGTGACCTAACATTTAGAGAAACAGTTACTGTGCTTTCAGAAGTTTTCAGCCCAAAGACATCATTGTTTCATAAAAGATGAAAATGTAGGAAGATGACGATTTCACAACATTCACAAGCATTGTGAATGAAAATTGTGAGAAGTCCAAACTGACAGTTTTCACTGACAATTTTAAATGTCTGATATTTGTTCAAGGGTTGGTATAAACAAAAGATGCTGAAATCAGGAGAAGCGTTTTAAATAAACTGGAAAACAAATGCAATCCGACTTTACAAAAGCTATTAGAAGATTGGCAGAGGTTTATAAATGTTCAACAAGATGCCAAAGATGTTGAAATAAGCGGTATGTCACACATTAAAAAAATGCGTAAAAAAAATAAAGTGAAGAAGGGAAAACCATTACTACTAACCCCTGTTACACATGTGGAGAATTACATTAGTATAAGGACTGTCCATACAAAAATAAAGAATGTTTTCAGTGTGGAAAAAAAGGACAAAAGTAAAAAGATGAGTGAGGAATTATGTTAAAGGTACTAATATGGATGAATCTGCTGGTTGAAATATAAGGAAATTTGTGCAGGTAAAAATCCTTCACAAAAATATCAAATTACAATTGGATAGTGGATCTGATTTAAGCATAATAAATGTATATACATGGAGAAAAAAAGGTAAACCGACATTAATGGTTACCAAGAAAATTGCTTGTAGTGTTACAGGACAGAAAATAAAACTTGAAGTGGAATTTATAACAGTTATGATGTTAAATGATAAAACCTTGAAATTAAGACTGTTTGTAATGAAAAATACAAATAACCTTTTTGGAACAGACTGGATGAAGCAGTTTAATTTATGGGGCAGTCTGATCAGTTTGTTTTGCCAAGAAGTTAAAGGTTTTTACCAATGAAGCAAAAAGTTTGAAGAAAGAGTTAAAAATTAAATTCCCAGGGGTATTTTCTGGTAGGTTAGGCAGGTGCAAGAAAATGAAAGCTAAATTCGAGCTAAAGGAAAATTTACAACTGGTTTTCAAAAAGAAAAGGAATGTACCCTTTGCATTGTTAAAACAGACTCAAAAAAATGGGTGTTTTATCTAAGGTGGAATACAGCTATTGGGTTGACCAATGGTAAATATATAGAGAAAAAGTCTAAAGAGAAACGTGTCTGCGCGGATTTCTCCACGGGCTTAAATGTTGTCCTCAAAAGTTAGCATTACCCACTTCTGAGGCCGGAAGAAGTTTTTACACAACTTAGTGGAGGTTGGATATTTTCAAAAATCGATCTAAGTGATGTGTATCTGCAGATTGAAGTGGCTGACAAATGTTCCAAATTACTTATGATAAACACACATCGAGGAATGTATAAATTCAATCATTTGGCTTTCAGAATAAAAGTTGCTCCAGCTGTTTTTCAGCAAGTAATGGATATAATGCTTAGTGGACTTTGCAGTCACTTATCTAGATGATATTTTGCTGATAAGTGGAAACCCAGAAGAACACAAGAAAAATGTTTTTGAAGTTTTCAGAAGGATTCAGGACTACGTATTCAAACTGAAAAATGTGAATTTTTTATGAATAAAATCAAATATTTGGGACAAATAATTGACAAAAATGGCAAGAGACCAGATCCAGCATGAGCCAGTGCTATAAAAGACATTCCTGCTTCGGAAAATGTCAGTTCCTTACAAAGTTTCCTGTGTTTGACAAGTTATTACAATGTATTTGTGCCAAACATGCTTTGCTTGTGAGCTCCGTTAAATCAACTATCAAAGAAAGACTCTAAATGGGCTTGGACGACAGTGCCAGGATGCATTTGGAAAAATTAAAGAAATGCTAATGTCAGACTTATTTTTTGACACATTATGATACTAAAAAAGAAATAATTGTAGCAAGCAACACTAGTGTGTACAAAATAGGAGCCTGCATTATACATAAACTCAAAGATGGCATGATTAGGATGATGCAAGGGCAATACAAAATTTTTAATTAAAAGTTTATAATTTCTTAAAACCATTTTTAAAAAAATCTTTTGATAAAACTTAAAAACTTTTTTGATTGTGAATAGTTGGAATGTGTTAATATTCTTTATATAGAAAATGAATACATAGAATGCAATTCTTAAATATGATAAAAGTTACACTAAGCATAAAAATTAATTAATAAGAACATCTCTATGTAAAATTGTTCAAAGTGATTTAACCAAAATGTTTAAATAAAAATAATTGTGACTTTTATAAAAACTTGTTCAGTAACTTTCACTTAGATGACAGCAAAATGATCAAATTTCAAATCTAAATTGTTTGTTTGTTTCAAGACATTTATTAGAAAATATATCCTGTTTAAATACAGGAGTCATGACAATAATTTCAGCAGGCTGGACATTTCAGCTTATACCCTTTTTAATGTTACCCTGCAATTGTTACCAAACAGAAAGGGAAATAAAATAGTCCTCACAACACAGATATCCATTTCAATTTAATTCAAATTGTGTGTCTGTGTGTGCATGTACATTTTAATTCAATGACAGACCTAAAAATATTTTACAAATTTTTTTTAATAACAAAACTTCAAAAAATAATATTATTTATTACTGAATAATTTCTGAAAAGTTCAATAAAATCTTATAATTATCTGTTCATTTTTTTAAAATTAAATGAAATTAAAAAAAAAACAATATTTTGACTTTGGGACTGTTTAAAATTTGTAGGGGATGACTAAATGTTTTTAAGGGTAGTTCTGGAACAAAGTTAGTCTGGAGCTCTGTTTTTGAATTAACATCTACATGTGTGTTAGTTTGATCACTATATTTGAGACAACATACTCTTAATAAATTCCAAAATGTACACTAGCCAAAACATGGAGATAAAACAATGAAGATAAAAATATCAGTTCAAAGGAATAACTAAATGAAAAAAAAATGTCTTTGAAATTCAGAAATTAGTCTGCTTTAGGATTAATATAAAATTTGTCACTTAGCTGATGTTATATTCAGTACCTCAACTCAGGAGTAGACAAACCCTTTTTGTAATTGTTCAGTCCGTTCATCAACAGGTTTCAGCAATGAAACAATGAAAATTAATTTTATTAATTAAAATAGCCTCTACTATTAAATTAACTTTATAGAGTGTATATATATATATATATATATATATATATAGCTAATGTCCACTCAACACAAGGCTTAGGAGCCACTCAAGATAGAGGGTTACTATGTAGTGTTGCATGAGCATAAGAAAAGTCAAGAAATGTAGTTTATCAGATTATGTAGGAAAGATAACAGTCAACTGAAGACTTGAAGATATCAAGATTGTAGTGAATAAGAAAACATCATGCTGAGATGAGTCTGTTTCACAAAACAACAGTTCTTTGAACATAATTGTCTGAGTGGAACTTATTTCTGACTAATGGAATATGAAGGGAATGAAGACAATTCACCATTTTGTACATAGCATGACAGGTTCCAGTTGCAAAGGCCAGGGTTTGGTGGGATGAATGAGGAATATAGATTGTCAGAATACATGCCATGGAAATGGTAATAAAATAATGAGAGGCTGGCAACATTTCATCTATAGGGAAGGGGTTGTAGGTGGAAAATTATTCATCACTCACAAGGCTATGTAGATACTTTTGAACTATATCAAGACAGGCAAGTGAAGAATGGGCAGCTCCAACCTATATATGGCAGAAGTTCCCAATTTTAGGCCTGATCTGGTTCTTTCAAAGGTAGAGGATAGCAGGTGGAATCTGGATACTTACTGATACAGTACCAATGAATCAAACATTTTTCTAGCATCTTTAACAATAGATTGTATATATGTTCCACTTGAGGTCTAGTGTGATCATGAGTCCAAATAGATGTTCAAGGCAAAGAGCCTCCTTGAGAGAACACCCATCCATTATGCTAGGTGACAGTTCAAGATCTGCTCAGTGCTTATGGAACATGATTAGTTTGGTTTTGGATATATTGAATTTTACAAGCAAGTCCATCCTCCACTAATGCACCAGGACTAAGTCAGAGGAGAGATGAGTTGCTAGGTAATCCAAATCTTATCATCTGCATAGATATTCACTAAGGATTGGAGTATATTCTTAGGGAGATTATTAATATAGAAGAGAAAGAGAGAGGACCAAGGAGAGAACTCTGAGGAACACCAGCATAGGCTTCTGATGACTGGCTGTTAACAACTACCTTCAGGCACCTACCTGTTAGGAAGGACTTGATAATTGACAAAGTCCCTAGCTGGAGAATTTATGTAGCAGTACCTAATATCGCACTTTGTCAAAAGGCTTTTAATATATCTAGGGCAATGGTCCTTGTAATGAATTTATTGTCTAGTTGGTTCCTTGCTGTTTCTGTGAGTAATAACAGTTACGACAGCTGTGGATCTAGCAGAGCAAAATATATACTGGTTATCACTCAAGAGGTTGTTCCTGATGATTATAGCTTTGAAGTGTTTAATGATGACATTAAGGAGGTTAAACGGTTGATATTGTACATGGTTTTGTTAAATTTAATAACAGTAACAGTAGCCAAGTAATATACATTAATGGACAATGAACTACCTAGTGGTTGAGATAGATTCCTAATTTTTACTGAAAAAATTATTAGGTGCATCACCAAGTTGTTAGAATGCTAATGAGACCATGGTTGATTTGTCAAGGTGTTGCATTCTGTGTCATCTCTGGATCCCCACGCTACTATATAAGATGGTATCAATGAAAAGGTCACTTCTTTTTGGTATTTGTTTTATTAAGAGTGGCATCTTGGAGTCTAAAAGGTAGTAAAAGGACTGGCATCATAGGAACGCATGTCGCATGTTGACTTGGCATCCCTCTGTGGGTGGTCTTAGCCAGTCACAAATCTGGGTGAAAAAGACATATCGATGCTTCAGAATTCTTGAGATCTTCTGTTGAATTTATGTCATTGTGACATATTCAAAACCCAGATAATGGCAATCCATCACTGTCAGAATGCCCCACCGATGAAGTACTTCAGCCAATCACTGACCATTCTGTAACAAAGATGACTTCTTGATAATATCAGTCTGGGGAGACAATGTCAGCACATAGTACGAAAGAGAAGTGCCTGAGAAACATGTCATCAGTTGTCCCAAAGCTTGTGAGCAAAATTAGATAAAAATGCTTAGAAATCAATGGTTATGCTTGCACAAAGTTACAAGTGATTGTAACCAATGGTTGGAGCATACAGGCAGTGTTCATAATCGCACCAGATTAGGTGCTCTCTCCCAGAAACTGTAACTAAGGTCCACTCATCATAGTTTCAGTATAAACTATAGGTTGGCTCTGTGGGTGTTGAACAAACACAAGTGTGCCTGAACAGACATCTGCAATGAGGATTAGCTAACCATTCTAGCAGACAAGTGTACTTGATACAAGTGGTCTGCTATACTGGAAATGTTTCAGGAAACTGGTGAAACTCTATTTTCCTGCCCTTCTCCATGTGCCAGATTAAAAATAATCTTTGGGAAATGAAAAAAAAAACTGAATAAAAAAATTTTATTTGGTTCTTTTTGTCTATCTTAAATAAAAACAACTGGTAATAAAACTTGGAGGTCAAATGCTTTTTTAAAATTCTTATTGAATACTTTCATGTGAACTTGAAAAATTCTCTCTTGATTATAAATTGTATTTGCAAGTCAGTTTGGTTGGAATTGTCAATTGTTATCATTTTTTTATTGAAGGCAAATATTGAAAAGTTCCAGTTAATTATGGATAATGACATCAGCCAAGGCAGAGGTGAACCAATTCAAAAAGACATGGAACTGGACACCAATAAAACTCATGTTTATGTCATGAGTGGCTCAAATGTAAGTTTGACTTTATCCCTTTTGTTGCGTAATTGGTTTTGGAAAATAACTTGTGCCTGTACTTGTCATTGTGTGTATTATAATTACATGCAACTCTTTTATTTGGTACAATTTTTTCTTAATTTTCTTGATCCATATGGATTTAAAATGCAAATTTCAATAAATGCTTATATATATTGCTTGTGTTTGCCTATTTTGGAACTGTCCATTTGATTTTTCTTTAAAAATAACAATGATCTCTTTTAGCAGAAAAATGAAATGGTAGGGCATCATTCAGCTTCATTTGTATTAATTAAGAAATTATTTCTTTTGCTGAGATGTATTTATTTCTTCACCCAATTATCAATCTTATAAGGTTTATTTTTTAAACAAAATTGCTTATGACAAACAGCTTATATAACCTAAAACAATTAACTACTGAAAAATATTTATAACTGAATATACTCCAACAAGAGAAATAACTTTGCATCATTTCAAAATTCCGCATTTATGAATTCATGTATTTTCATCAGTTTTAGAAATTTATTTCCTGTTTTTACTTTTCTGAAAGAATATCTACCCTGTAGTGATACTAGCAAATTAGTATGCATAATTTGCATAAGCAGAACTGAACATTTAATATAAGTGGTTACTGAGAATAACCACTAGAAAGTACAAGTCTAGCAACTGATTAGTGCTAACCTTCACTTCACAACAATGGCATTGCCGATAGGATTTCAATTGTCTTTGGAAGATCCAGAATTTGCCGATACTTGGATTCGTTGCTTCTCTGCCACTGCAAGAACAAAAAAGTTGAAAGACAACAAGGAAAAGGGAGGCGAAAATGAAATCACGGATTTATTTTTGGCTACAGCTGGATGCGAGGCGGTAATGAAAGTCTCCACCATGGCATATCCCTTAAATTTGGAAGACCTGACTTTCGAAAAAATAAGTCAGATTATAAAAAATTATGAGACCAAAGAAAAGGCTGGTAGTGGCAGAAAGAACAAAATTCATGTTGATGAAACAAGAAATTGACAAACCAATTATAAAATATTTACACCGTCTATGAAATGCAAGTAGATATTGTGAATTTGAGAAACTCGGACAAGATGAACAGACTATTGAAGAAGACTTGATTCAATTAAGATTAATTGAAGGTATGTCCAATGCGTCACACCGATATAAAATATTGGAACAATTACAAATAGGAAATATGTCTTTAAATGCTTGTATTGAATTTATGCAGCAACAAGAACTAATACAGACATACCACCATTATAAAGTCAACCCAATCGAATAAAGATTCGCTGATACATACGCCGTAAACAAGATAAAAAGTGTTCATATTGTGGACGTGAACACAAAATGAAAAAGGAAAAGTGTCCAGCATTTGGAAAAACTTTGTAATAATTGTTTAAAAAGAACCAATTTCAAGCAGTGTAAATTAAAAAAGAAAAATGTGGAAAGAGTTGAAGAAAATGACACCAACAGGGAAGTTTTTACAGTGAAAAATAAGACTTTTGAACAGAAGAAAAAAGACATTATAGTAAAGGTTAAAATTAATAACTGCAATTTAGATATGCAAATGGATACTGGGAGTGAAGTAACATTGATACCAAAAAATTTTTGGGAACACATAGGTAAGCTACCTTTACGAAAAAGCAATTTACAACTCCGCCAGTTTGATGGATCAGTTATAAGAATATTAGGATACTTCGAAGGTTCATTAGAGTTAAAAGAAAAATTTGAAGTAATTCCTGTAATTGTTACAAGTTGCAAGAAAAACCATGGCCTTATTGGAAATGACGTGCTTAATATGAATTCTACTAAATTAATTAATGAAATAAAAATGGAAAAAACTGGAAAGTTAAAGAACTATGAAGCAAGTTTAAAAGTAAAAGACAATGTTTCCCCCTCTTATTATGAGGCACGAAAATTACCAGTACATTTATTGCCATTAGTAGTGACAAAACTACGTAAATTAGTAGAACAAGACCTTCTTGAACATGTTCCGCCTGGAGGTAGCAGTGGGCATCACCGATTGTAGTTTTGAGGAAAACAGATGGTGATTTATGTATTTGTGGAGATTATAAAATAGGAGTAAATCACAAGATATGCTCAGATTCATATCCTATACCCAATGTTGAACATGCATTACATGCATTGGCAGGGATGTCTGTTTTTTCAAAAATAGATTTAAAAATGGCATACCACTAAATACCAATAGATGAAAACTTCAAAGAAGTAACCACAATAAATATGCCAATAGGGTTACTAAGATGGAAGAAAATGCCATATGGAGCAAAAACAGCAAGCGCCATATTTCAAAGGGCCATTGAACAGGTTTTAGGGAATGTACAAAATATGGTTTGTTACCAAGACGACATATGCATAGGAGCTACTAATGAAAAGGAATTAAAAGAGAAAACTGAATTAGTCTTGAATAGATTAAGAAATGCGGGAATGACGATAAATGAGAAAAAATGCGTAAGCAACTCCAACAAAATTTCTTTTTTAGGTTATTCCATTTCGAAAGAAGGTATATCACCAGACCAAGCCTTGATAGAAAAAATTCTAAAAGTAGCTACACCTACAAATAAAAAAGAATTTGAGTCTTTTTTGGGATTGGTAAATTTCTACAGGCAATACTTACTGAAATACACGGACTTGACGGAACCGTTTGCAAATTTAAGAAAAAAAAATGTAGAATTTATCTGGTCAGGCGAACAGCAGAAAGCTTTTGAAACATTAAAAGAAATAATGTCAAAGAAACCTGTAGTGAAAATTTTTGATCCAAAAAAGGACATAACACTCACTACAGATGCAAGTGAACATTCAATATCAGGAATATTATCACAAGAAGGACATCCAATAATGTATTTGTCGAGAAGGTTAACGAACACTGAATTTAATTACTTGAACATAGAGAAAGAAGCATTGGCTATCGTGTGGGCAACTACCAGAGCCCGACAATTTTTAATTGGAAAAAAATTTCTATTAAGAAGTGATCATAGACCATTGGAGTTTATATTTAACCCAAGGAAAGAATTACCCAAAGTCACGACATCAAGGATTCTACGATGTGCGATAAGATTGATGGCATTTGACTTTGATATAGAGTATGTCAAAGGAAATTCAATTCCACATGTGGACGCACTATCAAGATTGAGATTTTACAAGGAGTCAAAAAACAAAACGGAGGAAGAATTTGAAGATTCGTTCCTACACTTGATAGACTAATGTTTTGTCTTTAGACAGAATGGCTGCGGAAACGAGACATGATCCAGTGCTAAATAGGATACTATCAAGAATAAGAAAAAATTTGTGGGGAAATTGTTCTAGGGCGGAAAGACCTTATAAAGAAATGAGGCATAAATTAACAATAGAACATGGAGTAATATGCAATGGGGACCTGGTAGTTCCCCCAGAAACACAAAGAAAGCCGCTAATAGAGAGTGTACATAATGATATACACTGTGGAGTAGCGGCCACACAAAAAAGGATAAAACTAGAAGCTTGGTGGCCGGGTTATTCAAGAGACATTGAGGATTATGTAAAGAGGTGTAAGAAGTGTAAAGAGTTAAGAAACTTTACACAAGCAAAGTTACATTCATGGTCCAAAGAAGTGGAGCCATGGAGTAGGGTCCATATGGATCATGCATATGTAAATGGAGTGGGACTCTTATTAATATTAGTAGACTCTTTTTCAGGTTGGCCTGAAATAATAAGGGTTGCAAACAAGAAAAGTTCCACTATAAAGCAAATTCTAAGAGTCGTATTCTCTAGAAATGGTGTACCAAAAACCTTGGTATCGGATAAGGCACCGGAATTTTGCGAGGAAGAACTTAACGTATGGTTAGAGAAAATAGGGTGTAAACCATATAAAACTCCTCCATATCACCCTCAATCAAATGGAATAGCAGAAAGGATGGTTCAGACTGTAAAAAAGGGGCTGAAAGCATGCTCTCAGCAAAAAGAAAAAGTAGAAGTTTTTCTACCGAGGATGCTTTTAAGTTATCGAACCATACCACACGCAGGAAGACTCGAAAGCCCATCAGCTCTAATAGGGAGACAGATTAGAGCTCCACTAACAATGTCATACTCTACAAGTGAAAAGATGTGGTATAAAAAGAGCAAGGATGCAGATATGGAAGGAGTAGAGTTTATAATGCAAAAAGGCCATAATACAGCCATAATAAATAGAGAGAATGGCGATAGTGTGTTGGCCCATGCTGACCAAATAAGGACCCAGGGTGAAGAGGAAGAATGAAATGACAAAGAGGTGTCAGTTTCATCTGATAATGAGTTGATGGAACAACCATTACACAAGGAAACGTCAGAGGAAACAATGCAGGAGGAAGAGGGACAGAAGGACTCTGAAAATTCAGATGAAGACCAGAGTATGCAAGAGGACACATGTGACTACAGCCTAGACCGGGACAGATCGAGGTCTCCCAAGGAAAGAAATACAGGAAAGAGAGCAGAGTGAGGAAAATATCAGAAGGAGTACAAGAGCTACGAGAGGGAAAAAGCCCTTAAGGTTTAGGGAGATGTAGTGATACTAGCAAATTAGTATGCATAATTTGCATAAGCAGAACTGAACATTTAATATAAGTGGTTACTGAGAATAACCACTAGAAAGTACAAGTCTAGCAACTGATTAGTGCTAACCTCCACTTCACAACATACCCACTATCTAATCTTAATTAAATTTTAAATTCTAATATGGATTCAAAAAAAAAATTCTAAATTTCTCAGGTGAAGAATCATTATTATTTGATGAATTATTTCAACCAGTATCTTCATCTTTTTTTATTCAGCATAGCACATCAGCTGAAATGTTTCTTTAAGGCTACAAGTAAAAATCACTACTGAAATAATTCAATTGACTTAGGAAATTATTAAAAATAATTACTTTTTTAGTTATAAAGAATTAAATATTTTTGGTCTATCTGGAAACAATCCAATCATTTAATATTAACAAAATTATTTTATTGTATATTTGCACACAGTATATTTATGACTTCATGCAAATGTTGAATCCATAGAGGTATTTAAGCAAAACTGATGACTTTTGGAAGTTAAATGCATTAACTACATATAATAATATTTTTCAGGTGATCCGATTTCCTCTAAAATCTTGCAGTATTTATACAAATTGTTCCAGTTGTGTAACAAGTAATCATCCCCTCAACTGTGGCTGGTGTCATGATAAATGCACAACATCAAATGAATGCAGTAATGGTTGGAGTCCGGACAGCTGTGTTCCTCAAATTACATCTGTAAGTCAGAATTTGTATTGTTGACCTTTATGCATTCTTCCTTATTTTGTTTATTCATTTGCATGTCTCTTATATTTTCTTTGTATCTTTCCATGTTGAGACTACTAAGTCTTTGATAAAATACTATACAGAACATTATTTTATATTTAACTGATGACAAGCAGCACACACTTGATGTTAAATATCTACTCCTGACAATATTGATTTGGTGCTGGAATTCAGTGAAACATTTCCATTTCAAGACAACACCAGGAGGAGAATGGTTGTAATTTTAGTGAATGTTTTGATGATACAGCAGACCCAAGTGTGATTGGTCTTTATTTTTGGAATATAAAATCTAATTTGGTTTTCTACAAAAAATTGCAAAAACTTCAGGTGGCAGCAGCACTGAGTTGCTATTAAAGTTCTTCTTCAACCCAAAACTTATTATTCTGCATTAATTTCTTGGTGTCTCAAATGATTGTGGTTGATACCAATCCATTTCCTTCAATGATAGCATTGTCAGAGTATACTGAATTATCATCAACATTATGATGAAAGTAAAATCACTTTGAAATTCATAAAATTTCAGTTAGGAAGTAAATTTATGCAGTCTTAATTCCCTTTAAGATTCTGGGAGATTTTTTGCAAAGGATCCAATTTTTGTTTCATGTTTCAGATTTTCATGCATCAGAAAATAAGCAACTTATAAGAATAAAATTCACTCAATTCAATAAAATTCACAATAAAAATAAGAATAAAATTCACTCAATTCAATAAAATTCACAATAAAAATAAGAATAAAATTCACTCAATTCAATAAAATTCACAATAAAAATAAGAATAAAATTCACTCAATTCAAACCCTGCAAATATTTCTGAACCCACTGAAATTAAAATTTTATGCTACCATATATTATGGATTTTACAAGTATAAATCTGATCATAAAGAAAATTTGTCAGTTGTGTAGGTGCTTATCTCTAAGATAAAAACTAATCTGGATAATTAAAAAAATAAATGAAAAACAGTTATTTCTTTTCTGCATGAAAGAATAAATGAAAAGAATCTTTTTTGTATTAAATAATTAACTGATGTGGCATTGGTTTGCATTACATTGATCTTTGCAGTCTTGAAGTTTGGCTTGGTCACTTAAGAAAATGCTGTTTAACAGTTAAATGATATCAAATTGATTGGTTTTAAAACAAAATGTGTTACACAAATAGAACTTAAAAAATAAATGAAATCAGCAGTGTGTAAAATGGGTGATAGTCAAATTTCTGAAATAGTGGTGTTAATATTAAAAACCAGAAAAAAAATTAGGTAGAAATTCAATTTGATAAATTCTGTGTGGTATCATGAATAAAAAAAATATGTATTGACAAATTATTTTTTAAACTGTAAGTACTACTACTAATAATAATCAGCATTTCAACTCAATTTTTAGACAAGTCTTCCTCAAAGTTTACCATCATTTTTTTTTTTTTTTACAGAGTAAGAGGCATTTTATGCAGATAGGAGGGGAAGATAATGGTTAATCCTAGATTTGAACAGGTTAAGATTATAATGATCACAGAAACATTGTCTTGTGCAAGTGCAAGGTGCTTTGCATGTCACCATATAGATCAGTGTTCAGAGTGTCAAAGAACCAGCAACAGCAGTACTCAAGGCCAACCTAGAAATGATTTTGTGTATACAATGGGGGAGATATCTTACCAGGAAACATGGTACTCATAACAGGGATTCCAGTTTCACTAGTGGTCCATTTACACTCCACTTGATTATAGAGCCATTACGAGCTTGCACAACACCCTATATACAGACTTCACTCAGTCTTCTCCACACACAAACTCAATTGCCTATCCCAAAAGGCTGGAAATGTAACATATGCTCAGGCTACTGAAGTCCAATGGCAATGTCCTCTGGCCCAGATAAGCTACATTTAAGTGATAAAATGTCCATTAAGATTTCATCTTCTGATATAGAAGTTTGTTAGAAAGAAATACAAATTTGTTGGCTTAAAATTGTGACATTTGTCTTCATCTATTTTTAAGACATTTGCTTTTTTTAAAGACAAAAAAATGAAAGGATTGTTTTTTATTTTGGGTTTGGAAATCATGGTTACTTGGGTTGAGATGGGAGAATTATTGAACATTTAAAAAAATAAATAGCATAAAATATCTAAAGAAATTGTAAAATTTAATTTTTATCTAAAATCAATATTTGCTGCATGAATAAAAGCATTTTTATAAAATAAAAATGTTGAAAGGAAACCAGAAATTTGTTGTGCATTGGAAGGGAAAAAAGATTTTGTCAAGCGTTGAAGGGGAAAAAGATTTTGTCAAGCGTTAAAGAGATAAGGTTTCAGTAATAAAGAAAATAAAAAATGAGTTTTATTTTTCATCTGCTTTGCACACAGTGCAAAATTCTTTTCAAAGATTTTTTATTTGTGGTTACCTAAAAAGTGAATTTGAATTTTTTTTTTTGAATTGCCTTTTATTTTTCTTTTAACTAAATCTATAGCAGGCATGAGTTGGGTGAATCTCAAATCTAATTACTCTCATCATGTAGTATTTTATCATGTAGTATTTTATCATGTATTATTTTAACTTTGATTTCAATAACAGGAAATGCTCCTCATCTGGAAACTTAAATTGGATCATTTTTTATGAAATATTTCAACTCAATAGGTAAAATTTTCTCAAAAGGTCATTTATAGATTTCATTAATTTACTAGTTGTAATGTTTGTTCTCAGAAGTCACATTTTTGTTTTTTTTATTTTCTTTAACTACCCATTTGTCATTACAATTTTCTGTTTCCATTATTCAACATTTACTTCTATCTATCTATCTATCTATCTATCTATCTATCTATCTATAGATGTGTGTGTTAAGTTGTTTCTCTGCCATCACCATATACAACCATCTCAACCATCAAGCATTTAATTCTTCCTCTGCCTATCTCTATTATATATGCATATGTGTATTTGTTAAGCTAAAATTTTTCTGCTATACACACATCAGTACAACTGGTGGCTCATTAAATTTGCCCTTCACCATCCAACACTCCTCCTACTAAACATTCCCCAACACAAACAAAGTGCCGTTATTGTTGGAAATATTTCCTATTTGAGAAACTGTTTGTTTTGTAGGTCAGTATCCCCACTCCTGTCTATCCCACCATGATCTGCTGAAATTGTACTTGGATTATCTCTCACATACACATGGCAGATTATCTTTCCACCTAATACCTCCACCTACTACTGCTGCTACTTTGACCCTGTCCTATTTACTCCCTCTTTCTCTATCCTAGTTCTATTCCTCCTGTTGTTGTTTTTTCCTTTTGTAATTTTATTTCTGTGTTTTCTCTGGAAATCTAGTTTGGTTTATTCACTCTTTCTACTTTTCCAATGTTCTGCCTAGTCCTTCTTTGAAAAAACATTCAGGCCAATCATTGATTGTCTTTGATTTTACGACCAATCACATACAAGTTTGAATTTGGCTAACCTTTTATTGATCTTTTTACATGTATTCTGTTGGATAGATTTGTTGAAATAGTGTTTTTGTTTGTTTGTGTGTCTGTCTATCTAATCAACATCTTTCTCCTCTCCAGTATTCTTTTTAAACTCACTTATTAACAGACATCTGACAACATTCATATCTCTCTCTCTCTCTCTCTCTATATATATATATATATATATATATATATATAAAATTGTAATTCACTTTTTAATATTTTTTTTATATATATTTTTTATATATATATATATATATATATATATATATATTAAAAAAAAAATCTGTGGAAAAATAATCCAAGTAGATCCTATTAATATAAAATATTAAAATTGATCCACAAAAGAGAGCTCAATATAATTTTTATTATAGAGCATATAAATGAAGTACAATTAATGAGATCCAAGCAATTTACCTCAGACAGATGATCATTTCGTCCATGGGAAAGTAGTTTTTCCCTGGATTTATATGATAGCAAATACATTTACTAAAATGAATAAATTCCCACGTTTCTTCACAGAAAATTTGAAAGGCAAAGGAAGGAAAGAATGAAAAAAGATAAAGGAAAGAATAAAAGGAAAGGGAGTAAGAATTGACCTATAATAGAAGAGTAAGATATAGATATTTGAGGAGTAAGTGACTTAAGGTGATTGTAGTGGAGCTGGTACAGATAGTCATGATGGCTGAAAATGGACACTGACCTAAATGTAACCTATCAACACCTGTGCAAGGAAGAAGAATGAACAAAAAAAAAGAACATAAAAAATTTCAGTGAGGAGTTTAAAATATTATAGATATCAACATTCTTATTCAAATTCTTAGCAAATCTAATGCAATCATTCAAAAGGTCACTTGAAATAAAGGAGTAAAAGTCAATGTTGTTGAATTTAATAAACATAGCTTTCTCATATTATTGAACCACCCAATGTTATCCAATGAGTCTTTCTAAAGATTGACACCAGTTGAAATTAGTAGTTCTTTACATATTGAATTTAAATTTAATCCTTTACAGAATTTTTAAATAATTAGTACAAGTTTGATATAATTTAAATTATAAACTTAATATTTGAAATATCATTAATATATAATTATATTATGTAATATAATTTGAAATATTATTAATAGTATTAATATTACATTGATATAATGAGATTAGTTATATTTAAATGAAATTAATATATTAATAATTTACTTAAATTTTTTTACTGTATCTTTTACTATATAGTTAAAGATGTATTGAATGGATTAATATTAACATCATTTTATAAAAGTATTAATTTTAAATTCTTACTCCATTCTATATTTTAAATGCCTGTAAATATATTTGCATTGGTAATTCCAGGGAAAAACTACTTTCCCATGGACAAAATGATCATCTGTCTGAGGTAAATTGTTTGGATTTCATTAGTTGTAATTCACACACACACACACACACACAAAACATTCCTCTTGCTTTGAAATGTTGCAATGTCAACATTATATATATATATATATATATATATACCGTAGAGAGAGAGACTAACTAATGTTGACACTGCTACATTTCAAACCAAGAGAAAGGAAGGTTTTTATTGACTTATCCTTTTATAGTCCTGAAACAGATCCACCTAGTGGACAACTTGTCAAAAAAAGATGGGTCTAATCTCCACAATATATATTTCATTGATTTGATGTACAAATAGTCCATTCTGACTAGAAAATAAAAAAATCACAAAAAGTTTATTTCCAAAACAATCCGTTGTATCTATATAAAAAAACAGTTGTAGGTCAGTCTTTCAAATCATTGCTAATGTTCTGAGTTCGAACCTTACTGATTTTCTCATTATAATAATCTTGTGTATGACCAGGTTAAGACTAATAAATCTTTTTGATACTCTATTAAATTGATTGAAAGGAAAACTTTTAACTACTTTGATACTCTTTCTTTTTTGCTTTCTAGATCAGGCCAATAAAAGGTCCAGTAGAAGGTGGTACAAAGTTGACAATTAAAGGAAAATATTTTGCAAATGGTATTACTGAAATGGAAATCACTGTCAAAGTTGGCAATGTACCTTGTTCAGTGAAGGAATACAATGCTACAACGTAAGTATCAGAATCAGACTGACTACTCCTGCCTTTCGTTAATAATTCTGACACTGATAATAAACTTTTTCAAGTATTTTAGAATCAAAATTGATAAAAATATTTCCCATAATATCATTCATTAATGGTGGATCTGCTAGAAGTTATCACAGCCTACAAAATCTACCATACTTTAATTGAAAGAAAAGTTCATAAAAATCTAAAATTTATAAGAACTTTATCCAGTAGTTAGTGGAAAATTGAACCAATTAATTTTACAATTTTGTTATCATCAATTACTTTTAGTAATGTTATAAAGATGCTTTTCATAAGTTATTTTTTAATTGATTTGTTATAGCTTATTGTAAATAAAATCTATAATTTTTTTTAAATGGATACTTTAAATATGAAATTTTAAATAAGCATAAAGTATAAAGAAAAGAATCAGCTTAATAGAAAATTGTTTTCTTGAAAGATGTATTTTCAATTTTGTGTGTGTCAAGAGCAAATTTAGTATGTTTGGATTAGGTACATCATTAATTTCATCCTCAACAGAGATTTGAGAAATAAATAAACAGCATAAGTGAAATCCAGTTATGTTTTATCTGAAAGATTTTTGGTAAATGGTAGTCCAAAATGTTGAATTGACATGCTTTGTGGTTTTGTTTCATGAAAAATTGTCACTGTTTAAAATCTGAAATTTTGATCTTTTCACAGCATTATTTGCAACACATCAAAGGACAATAAAAACAATAAAAAGGGAAACATTCATGTGAAAATCAGGACCATAAGTACTCAGACCAACCAATTAAAGATTGAAGGAGAAGACATAAGTAAAGAAATCTTCTACTTTTTGGTAAATATAAACTTAAATTTGAAATCAAGATCTTTCCTTACTATTTTGAATGATACATAGAAATATTTTCTCAAGAATACATACTTTTACTCACATTTCTTTTACCACAACTTCAGTCATACAAAGCGTTCATTCTGTGAATGATGTACCAATTCCTATTTTCAACTAATTCTTTTCCTTTGACAGGTTCCAGAGATCTACAATTTCACTCCAACATCTGGGCCCAAATCTGGTGGCACAGAGTGCAACATTACTGGTACCAATTTGGACATAGGATCAACATACAATTTATATATAGGTGACAAAGAAGTCTTAATTCAAATGTAAGTTTTACTATTGCTGTTTAAACTTCATAAATTGTTTTCCATGAATCCATTACTGAGTTCTATGTTCATGTAATATTATTTTGTTTTTTTCTTGAATTGAAAATGTAACAACTACTCTTCTCATAAATAACCAACCTACATATTGGCTTCTTTTGCTTGGCTTGAGCAATTCTGTTGAATGGGATCACCTTCACATTCCAGCTGCTGATACTTCATCTTGAAACACTCTTAAGAAATCAAATACAATTTAGAGTATATTTCCTTCTAAAACTTGTTTAATAAAAGAGAGGCTTGATAAAATAAGAAAAACCTTCTGATTTCTTTTTATTTATTATCAGACATCCTTCCCAAAAGACAAGTTTTGTTATTGTTATGGTCCGGTTCCTTGTACCACGGGTGATAGTCCAAGGTAGAACCAATAAAGAAGAATTCGAATACGGATATGGAATAACACAGATATATTACAAACAGGAATATATACAGAGAAGTAGAAAGTGTTAGTACGAACAATCAGGTTTAGTAGTAATTGTCTGAACGCGACTTTGTTTCGGACTGCCTCTGACTCGACTGACTGACAGACTCCTGATGGACTTGACTTCAGACTGAACTCCCTGCTTCCTCTTGAGGCACAGTATTTATTATGTATGGAATAGTTCATTATGTTATTATGGGTAAGGTCTCATAACACACCCCTTCTGAAAATTTTGCATAGCAGGGGTTTTTTAATATCTTTTTTTCTTTGGATCTATTTCCAAAGATTCAATACATTTTCTTTTTCTAGACGATTTTCTTGGTTCTGGCATTATTTGCGGTCTTGTTATATCGAATGTGTCGAAAATCGTGTCCAATACCTCTTCTTGAGGTCGACCGTTAGCATCCTGTAATGGTCTCTTCCTTATTTGGTTTTGATCTTCTGTGTGAGAATTTTTTTTCCTTGAACTATGTACATATTGCCAATTTTTTTCAATTATCCCTTGTTCCCAGCAAGAGGTATTATTTTTTGTATGCCTTAAAAAAAATTTTTTCCCTAAAGGAGGAATTTTCTTTTTTTTGTGTGTAGGACTGTATTAGGAAAACAGTTTTGTTTTACTTGGTAATCTGATTTTCCTATAAACATGATATCTGCTGGTGATAATGTTGATGGTGTCACATTGTTTGGCATTATACTATATACCTGTAGGAATTGCTGTAATGCTTTCTCCATAGGCACATCGCATCTTTTTGTAATGCTCTTGAAAGTATCCATTGATCTCTCCGCTTGTCCATTTGATCTTGGATGGTAAGGCGGGGATTTTATATGTTTTACTTGATAGATTTCTCAAAACTCTTGGAAATCTGCTGACATGACTTGCATTCCGTTATCTGTTACTAAACAGTCCACTACACCAAACTGAGCGAATAGCTCATGGAGGAAATTTATGGTCTTTTCTGTCATAGGATTTTAGCTGCTAAATTACAACCCTTGCACATTTCCACTATTTGAGAAATATCCTGGTCCATATTCTTCCAATATGCATAGCTTCGCATTAGCTTTGACTTCATTCTATTTTTTTTTTTGGGTGTCCTCTGTGAAATCCTTTAGTATCCGTTTTTTTTAAAGTTTTTATAATTACAACCCTTTCTCAGAATATCCAAGTTCACACATTATTTTCAGAAAAAGCTGTCCAAATTTTCTCATTTTTTTCTGCTATTTTTGCTTTTGTTTCATTAATAAATTCGTCATTTTTGGCTTCATTTTTTAATGTCTTGCAATGTGATTGGGAGGTTTCTGACTGTACAACATATTAGTACTTGTTCTTATGTCTTCTTCATTTCTAAGGGCACTGCGATTACATGTATCTTCCAATGGCTCTGTCTTTGTTGGTATAAGTCTTGACAGACCATCCATTGCCCTGATTCTTTTTGTTTAGTAAATATTCCAATCTGAAATTATTTAAGAATCGACTCCCATCTAAGTAGTCTATTTGTCGTGTCCACTATATTAGACCTTTTTTTAACCAAAAATTTTTTAACGGTTTGTGATCCGACTGCAGAGTAAAGCGTCTACCATAGACGTAATCTTTGGAATCTTGTTACTGCAAAGATAATTGCTAAAGCTTCCTTCTCAATTTTAATAGTTTTTCTCTGCTGGTAGTAGGTTTTGAGAAGCATTTCATAGGTTTTATTGTCCCATCTGGCATTTTATGTAATACTAGCAGTAGAGCCCGGCATTGCCTGGGGATGTAACAGTAAGAGATAGATCAAGTATCGACCATCATAAAGACTGAAAAATAAAATTGACAAAGATTATTGTTTAAGGTTGATGGACATGCATGTCTTAATTAGTTTTTTTTTTTTTTTTTTTTTTTTAAATTGGTCAAACCAAACTCAAAAAAAATATTGTTTTCAATCGTTATGAGTCTACCGATTGAATAGAATTTTATTATAAACAATTGTCTTGTAAATGGAATTTTAAAGCATTCTGAATGTAAAAATAAAGAAAAAAAGTGTGCAAGACAATAAGAAACACTACCTGCCAAAAAAAAAGTGAAGTTTTGTTGAAATCGGTTGAAAATGTAGGAAATCCGATCCCATATAAACACACATATACACAACACAACACACACACACACACACACAACACAAAACAACCTGGGTTTTATAATAAGTATTTGATATGAGTTGTCCCCTTTTCATTCTGGCGACAGAATCGTGTTTTCAAATTGATTTTGCAAAAACAATTGTGTTTTTCCAATTTTTATGCACTGTCAGAACCACCGCAAGGTAATTTTATGTAGTCCTGTGAAGTTTTGTTGAAATCGGTTGAAAAATTTAGGAAATCCGATCCAATATATAAACGTACAGACACACACACACACACACACACACTGCACACATAATAAGTAAGATACATGCTCTGACACCGTAGAGGTGTTCACATCACTTCTATGGAGTACAATAATTTCTAGTTTAGGATCATAGTGTGCCAAAAATAAACCGATGTTAATGTCTTGATTATTTTTTCAAATGTTTCCTGGCATTGATCTGTCCACTGCCAAACTTTTTCTTTCTTTAGCAGTTCGTTCAATGGTGCGCAAAGTTTATGCATTTGAGGTATGAATTCCTGGTAGTAATTTACTAATCCAAGAAAACTTTGTAGTTCTTAGGAACTGGCATCGTTTTTATTGCTGTAGACCTTTCAGGGTTTGGACGTCTACCTTCTTGGTCTATTATATGGCCAAGATATTTAATTTCCTTCATGAAAAAATCACACTTATTTTCTTTCACTTTGAATCCGTAGCTTTAAATTCTCTTAAACACTTCTTGTACATGTTGCCAGTGTTGTTCAATGCTTTCGCTATTAATCAATATGTCATCCAGATATGCTATTGTGTATTCTAGTCCTGCCAGCATCGTATCCATTGTCTGCTGAAAATAGCCGGCTAATTTAATTCCAAAATGGTAGTCTTTGGTATCTGTACAAATCCCTTGTGTGTGTTTATGCATAGTAGTTTTGAACTTTCTTCATTGACTGGAATTTGCAGGTAGGCCACACTTAGATCAATTTTTGAAAAATATTTTCAGTAATTGTCTGAACGCGACTCTGTTTCGGTCTGACTCTGACTCAACTGACTGACTGACTCGCTCTGACTGACTGACAGACTCCTGACGGACTTTACTCCAGACTTCAGATTGAACAGTATTTAGTCACCCCGCCCCACGAGGGCATCATGTGGCACAAGGCCGGTTTAACGTGGGATCTCCGAGCCCGTGGGCTCAGCCAAAAATGTGCCCTTTGAACCCGTATAAATGGGTTCAGGGTTGGTTTACCTCCCCAAAAGAGACTCCGCCCTTCGGCGTAGCCTCGTTCGGGTTCCTCCCCGGCATAGTTCAACCAATCAGCCGGTCACCCAGTCGCCCAACTTCAGACTGAACAGTATTTAGCCACCCATGAGGGGCATTTATGTAAACAAGGCCTTTTTTGAACGGATCTTACGAGCCTGTGGTTTCCTACAGCCAAAATATGCCCATTGAACCCATATAAACGAGTTCAGGGTCGGTTTACCTCCCCAAAGAGAATTTGTATTAGCGCCTCCTTCGGTTCCTCCCCAACAAGACAAAGGGAGAGACTTCAGACTGAACTTTCTGCTTCCTCTTGAGGCACAGTATTTATTACGTATGGAATAGTCCAATCTGTTATTATGGGTAAGGTCCCATAACAGTTATAAAGTAGCAATTTCATTATGCACATAAGAGCTTTAAACTTTTTTCAACTACAGAATTGATCAAGTTTCAAATGAACCTTTCATAAGCTTTCATTTTTTTTATCTAGCTACTCTAATCATATTGTAAAATGTTTTATAAATTATCTACAAGTTGTTTAGATAAATATTTCCACCTTTGCTGTTTTAATCAATCTAATTCAGTTGAAGTCTTCAAGCATTCAATATTTTTTTTAAAATTTGTATTGATTTGACAAATACCTGAATTAAGTTAATGCCAATAATCCATGTCGTTTTTCAAATCCTGTTTTTTAATTCATAATAAGAACAACAAAATGAGAGTATAAGACTGAACAACTGCAAAGTTAAAGGTATTGACTTGTCTCAGGATTTTGGATCACATAAATGAATTTATAGTTAAACATGATTCTTGAATTTTATTCCAGGAGAACACAAAACAAGATCATTGCCATAACCAAAAAAGTGAACAGCTTAATCACGAATCAATTAAAATTACAAATTGATGGTAAAACTTTATTTTCAAAAAATTCCTACAGCTTTAAGCCTGATCCTACAATCGTTAATGTCAAGCATTCAACAAATACAATTAAAAGGTATGCAAATTTTTGTTTTTAATTAAACTTGCTTATTTTAAAAAAAAGTAAATTAATAAATAAAATTCTTAAATATTTTCATTATGATAATTTTGTAATTTTTAAGGATACAATATTTATAAAATGGACATTTACAATCAAGTGACACAGACAATTGCCAGTGGAGTAGTGAGTTTAGCCCTTACTGGCCACCTTACTATGATGACTGTGTGTCAGACAACATAAATCTTAATAAATTTTTATAGTCATAGAGTGATATCTAGCAAGTTAATGCAGTGTCTCACTATTAAGTACCAAACTGAATTAAAATTTGTGAAGATCTCAAATATTATTGATCTGAAAATAATAATATTTAATATCAAATCCACATACATTTCTTGATCTACTAATTAAAAAAGTGTATTCAAAGGTTCTTGAACCAGTTCATTTACCAAAATCTGGCTAAATGACAAAGCATCAAATTTTTTGTGAAGAGCTTCTTGGCCAGGGTGAGAACTTTTTGGCACCTCCTCATTGTAAAAGAAAAACACAAAAATGTGTAATTATGCGCATACCTTAATAAAAATAACCCAACACAATACAAATTAATGTACCCTATGGTCAATCATTGATTATGATTTATTTATTTTTGAATTTATTGAAAATGTAAAAATTTCCCACAGATATTTCAAGCAAAAACTTTCAAAATATCTATGGAAAATTTTTACATTCTCATACTAATAAGAATTTCCTTCTTAACCTAGTGTGGAACACCAACATTTTGATTATATAATTATTTTCCCTTCTGGTTTCCATTTTAGTGGTTGCTGCAGTTGGAAGTTTTCAAGTGATGTGGCTTTTGTTATTTGTTAAATTTCATTGTTTGTGACTCTGTAGTATCAGTCTATAAGATCTGATGATAAAGAGTTGTCTTCTTTAAAACCTAAAAGATACATTTACTTAAAGCTATTTTAATCACTGACACTTGTATACAGTTGATAGGTTAGACATTTCTGAACAAGTTGGGTGTTATGCATACCATCCATACAAGAGTCTAGATCTAGCAAGGCTATTTATAATATGACTTGAATGCATAGGTTAATGTTTTGGTTTTGTAGTGTCTTGTAGTGTTTGATTATTTGTAGCACAACCTCTTTTCTCTTCAATTTCCATATCTTCTATATTAAATTTATTATAACTGATCCATACACCAAGATATCTGACTTGTTTATTAATTCCACATTTGGAATTTTTATGATGGAATCAGGGTATGTGCCATCCCTACTTTCATTCCAATTCCAGATCATATTTTGTGCTTTAGAAAAGTTTATTTTAAGAAGGTTTACTTCTTGGAACACAAAGTACCAAATAAAATGTATTTTGACAGGAAATAGTAAAATATTATATATTAAGCAAAAATAACATTATTTTAATCAAAATATACATTTGTAATTGTCATGAAGAACCCATTTTCTATTGCAAATAACATTATGGTCAGAAATGAGCTGTTATTGTTTCTAGTAAATAGCAACGAACATAACTAAAGAACAATGCTGTATTTGAATTTCTGTTAATTCCTACATCATGTTTTCGCAATTTCTTAAATCTTTCCTATCAAAGTCAAATGACAAGAAATATCAAATTTTACTACAAGAATTGAAATTGTTGTTTTAGGATTATTTTCCACAATTTTTCTCACTTGATTGTGTATCTTTGACATTACACATTCCAAGAGACTATTGAACTCATTCTCTCTTTCATTTATGTTGTTCTTACAATGTTTTGACAAACACATTCTTTATGTATACTATCTGTATATAAAAAGAGGGTCTCTTTTTCCAGTAGTATGATGGTAGCAAATAAAATGGCAAATGTTCATGGCAACTCTTTTAATATAAGTTATTCTATTTTCAACAATTTGTGTCATTCAGCTTCTTCCATAGTTTATACATAGATCTATACTCAATTCCTTTCTTTGTTAAAGAATTCTGTACTGCATTCCTTTGTGCAATTAAATCCACAACATTCTTCATCTAGCCAGTAATTTGATGTATATTAAGTCTTTCAATTTTCTTACTTATAATCAATATTCTCTGCTTATTATTTGGACCTTCACTCATGGTAATGTACTCCCTCTCTTTGGCCAAATCAGATTTTATCCATTTTTCCTTTAGATATGGCCATTCTGTGTTCTTTGAGTCTGGCTTTAAGGGATATAGCCTGATGTATTTTTTCACATGTAATTGCAGCTTTTCACCAAACTCTTCTTCTATGAGGGATCAACTGTAGCAATGTTAGAAAATTTTGTTGTGCTATTAAAAACCATCCTGATGTTATAATGCCCACATATCCTTTATATTCATTCATCTGTAGCTGTACAGTTGGTATTTCTGGAATTCATTCTCCTATTTCTTGTTTTCATGACTTGTTATAAATATTATCTCCAAAGTAAATTTTTAAAACCACTGGTGTTACCAATTTCTTAATTTTAATGTTCCTGTATGCTTGACCCCCAAACAACAATTTTTCAAGAGACAACAAAACAAACTATATAATGAATAGACCATATAAACATTATGGAATCAACCTTACAAGCTGAAATCATTTTGTACAATAGCCTTTACTCTTTACTTTAGTGTGTGAACTATGAAAACAAATTTGTCTATGAACAATTGTAAAAAATCTTCAGTGATGTAATAAAATGTAAAACATTTTTTTCAGTGGTGGCATTGAAATAGTATTTATTGGGAAAAATCTTAATACTGTACAGAATCCAATGTTGAGCGGTGTTGTTGTGAAAACAAAAGCTCATTTACCAGCTGAGGTATGTTAACACATTAATTATCTCTATATTAATAAAAGCATTTCACATTTCAAATTTTCTTTTGTCAACAATTGCTTATAAAACTTTTTAAAACATAGCAACTTTGAAAAGCACTTAGAATGATACTGTTTCTCAGATTTTCAATTGATTTTGTTCAACTCTGATACAACAGACAATCTTAATGAACTAAAGCAGTTAATATTCATTAATTTTGAATTGATTTCAGGTTGTTTATATTAAAAAATACTGTTTAGAAATTATGTGAAGCTTTCAAAACATTAAACAAGAATTCTTTATTAGTTGAGTGTTTCATTAAATATAAGTATTTAGATTTCAATATATGTCACCACTTCTGATTAAATCCATAACTGGATTTAACTGGTAGTGGGGATAGATGTGCATTTCCCACTGATGCCAGTGGTTAATATTGAAGCCTCAGTAAAAGGCAGGATTTACAATGCTAGCTTTTGAGCTCACTACTAATTGGAAAATTGGTAAAAATACAATTTCTGTAAATCCTATCTCAACATTGGGCGTTGTGCCAAATTAAGCTACCCTTTTTAAATATCCATATTAAATTCATCATAATAATCTGTAAGACATAAACACAGCCTTTAAAAGATTTTTTTTTTGTTTCATCTTAGATAAAGAGATATATTACAAAGATTTTATATGATTGATCTATTAAATTCAACATTTGTATAGATCCTCAAAAAGATAGATTTTATTGATTTTTCAAAAAAGGAAGATGGCAAATTAGGTAAATTAAGACAAACTTTGATACACTAAGGTACAACAAAGACAAGAAAGGTAGACTGATTTTGTTTTGACCAAAACAACAAATATAAGGATATTATACCAAATAATTTGTGGTACAATTTCTGAAGTTAACAAGTAACTTAAAATGAATGATTCAATTGCTGGACTTAAAATTTTTATGGTTTTATTTGCTTGTTTATATGTGAAATAAATTTTGATATTTATAAAGACAACTGTCAGGAGAAACATTGATTAATTGATTGAATTTTTATTTTTCAATACAACAGTTTATTCCCTGTTTAGCTTTTTATAAAACTAAAACATTACAAAAATGATTTCATTTTGATGAAACTGATTTTCCCAATTTATACTTGTTAGTCTTAACCAATAACTGGTCTTATGATTGTATCACATTGAAACACGAATTCTCGTACAATCACCAAAATTAAGCAATGTCAAGACTGATCAGTACCTAGACAGGTGACTGCTTGGGAATACCAGGTGCTCTAATGGATAATTGTTAATTAGAGAGCCAAGTTCCAATTCTCACTGGGTTCATTATATTCACTTACACACAAATACCCTTTAGAAAAGTATGATTCTACCTTCCCTCAGATATGGGTTAATTAGTAAGACTTGTATCACTAAACTATTATCTCAGAAAAACAATTCGTACAATCTAAAAATATTTTCTGGCTTTAAATAACCTACAAAGGTTTGATAAGCCTTAAAAAATGAATTAACCAATAATTAATCAATAACTGATTTATCTATATTAAATGTTGTATGAATGTTTGAGTTCAGTCCTTCTGATTGATTTTACTTATTTGTGAATATATTTAAAACTAGTTTCTCAAGAAATACTTGTCATTTGAAAAACTTCTTCCTTTCCAAGATCTGTTCAGACAATTGAACTTAATCTTTGTGTTGTTGATGTTTTACCAAAACATTTGAGTCAGTCTATTCTACAATTTATTCATAAGGAAGATAGATGTCCTTTTGTTTCATTTTTTTTTATATATCAAGATAGAAAATTAAAAAAAACTGTACCTACAAAATGTTGGGAAAAAAGTCCATACTACATTCTGTTTTTACACATTGTTCATGTATCTTGAAACTTTGGATAGTTCATTATTTGTTGGATTGGTAAAAAAATTGTTCAGTTCATTAAATAAAAATAAATGACTTTTTTTTTGGTTTTTAACATTTTGTTTTATCTTCTGCTATCTTTTGGGCAACTTCATAATTCCATTTTCTTGTTCTAAGTGCATTTGTAGTCATCCAGGGAAGTTTCTTTTCTTATTGAAAAGAATTCTACAAACATTGGAATAAATAAAAATCTAAAAATGCAATATCTGCAAAATATGGCAAATGAATGAAAACTTTCCAGCCAGGCTGGAACAATCTTTGCCAGGTCAGAAAAATAACATAGTTATCCTGATGGAAGGTTACACCTTTTCTCTTAACTAATTCTAGATGATTTTTATTGATTCCTGCTTTCAACTACTTTAATTTGGATCAGTACTTATTTAAATCAATCATTTTTTGTCTGGAAGGAGATAACACTAGATAAGTTCCATCCAATCTCACCATATAAAGCATCATTTTCTTTGGTACAGTTGTGGTTCATTTTGCTTCCCCTTGATTTATTGCATTCTGTGTTGTTGCAAAGTAACTAATTTTCATTATTTATCACAATGTATTTTAAAAACAACATTTTCATTACATATAAATAGACTGCAGTGATTTTTTTTGACTTCCCATACATGTAGAATACACATAATCCAAAGTAATTAACATTACCAAACTGCTGTAAATGACTATCATCACTTGAGCACTTGAGCATTATCAATGTTTGATATTTGCTGCTTTCTATAAAATTATTCCCAAGTAATATATTAATTTAATTGCTTATCACCCTTGATTGATCTACTCAAATATGAAACATTGGAGAAATGTTTGGCACAAAACTTTGCAAGCTAATTTTGACACATGTAATCATTCACAATAACTTCTCCATAAACAGCACACAATTTTTTTTATTTTGCTTTTTAGTCACATTTTTATTTTTCTTAACAGAATATAATGTCCAGGATGTTGCTTATTTTCTTCATTGTTAGAATAAAAAATTCTACTAATTTTGATAAAATACTTTTTGAATGAAGCTGGTTAAAACTTCTTAATGCTAGCTAATAAAAAAAAAACAGAACAAAATTTTGGGACAACCAACAGAGCATGGGTTCAACACATCTGTATACCGTAAACTGACATTCACCAGACAGTACCTCAATTTCAACTCCCACTATCCATACTGCGTAAAGAAAGGGATCGTCTGTTGCTTACAACACTGAGCAAAAGTCATAAGTGGCAACCCAGAGACATTAGATAAAGAATTGGTAAGTATAAGTAGTACCCTACAATGTAACAACTACTCTGGGTACATGGCAGCAGCCCCAAAAAACTGGGATAGGCAGGTACAAGAGAAGGAGGACAACAACACTCAGAAAACAGTCTGCCTGCCTTATGTGTAGGGGTTATCAGAAAATACAAAGGATCTGCTCTCAGAGCGACCTTCAAATGCTGGACGACACTTCACAGATATCTCTCCCGAGTAAAACCCCAATAGAAGAGAACATGACTAAAGACTGTGTGTACGCTATCCCGTGCAGCTGCAGAAAGGAATATAAAGGAGAGACAGGCTGCCCCCTCAAAGTAAGGCTTCAAGAACACCAGAAAGCTGTAACCTGAGGGGAAGTAGAAAAATCAGACATGGCTGACCACATATGGAGAGAGAAGGGAGATCACCGCAATCTGTGGGATCATGTTGAGATCATAGACAAAGAACACCATTGAAAAATTTGTAAACTTAAGGAATCAGCACATATGCTAGACCACAAAAATCTCCTGAGCTGACTAAGCATAGAAATGAATATAATATGGGAACCAGTAATAAGGAATGCCAGAGAAAAGCGATAACAACAAACAAAAATTGCAATATGAGCTCTGGTAAAAACATGTAATGATAACAGCAAAAAATTGCAATATGAGCACTGGTAGTTGCTGATGACATTAGGTTTATAATACCCAGAAATTCATACACAGTGGATAAAGGCGTTAGTTAGATCCAGTGACAGTACCCAAAGAGTGTGAGTTCAATACCCAGTTAAGGCAGTGGAGAACTTGGAGAGGGGTATTAACAGGAGATAACTGATAACTGACATCCATTAAACATGGCATGTGAAACTATAACAGTCTACCCCAGTGAGCAAAATAAAGGGTTCAGTTTGACATTCCAGCCACCTGAAGAAGGCCAGAGCATACAACGGCTGAAACGTTGTAATAAATATGGTGACAAAGATGAGGACAATAGTCCGAATAATGTAAATAGTCAACCAATATAAGTTCTTATTAAAGAAAAAGTAAGTCTTTAGCCTAAAAGAGAGAGCGTTTTCTTTAAAATGAATAAGTGCCTTATACATTTCCATGTTGATTTGCTCTCTTCTGAAATTTTTCAAGTAACATAAAATGGCTACAGAATTAGAGCAAGATTAAAAAACATCATCTTCAATCTTTTGAATAAAAGGTAAATTTTCATTACTTATTTTTAGGAAAAAGTAACATCTTGTCTTAGAAATAACAATATATTACAATATATATGTTCTTTGTGTTAAAATTATGTTGATTGTTGTAACTTTTGTATTTGTTTTTATTTCTCCTTTATATCTTCTCTAGAAATGTACTGCAAATAAAGATGGCACCAAACTCTACTGCAAAACTCCTACCTTGAATGACAGTTCATCTGATACCATTTCTGTAGATCTTCGATTACACATGGATGGTGTAAAAGAATTGTACAATTTTGCTACCACATACCCTAAATACAGTCGAATAAATTATTATAATGATCCAGTTCTGTACAAGTTTGATTCTGAACAGAATATTTTTTTCTATGGCAAGACAAGCAAGCCAGTTGTAATTAAGGTATGAAATATGTTGCCTGAAGTACTGCTCTCATTTGGCAAATTATTTAAACTAGTATGTTCATCTCTGTTATTTCAATCAATTTAGATACAAATAAGAAAGGTAAAAATGTTACTTCAAATAATTTATATATATTGGCATTTTTAAAAAGTTTAACATTTTTCTCTTCATTTTCCACTATTTTAATTTTTGTTTTTTAGATCTTCAGTTCTTTTGATTAATGATTCTCATTTGCTGAGTCTGGTTCTTACTGGATGCCCCAGGATTGTGATGAGTCAAAATATTAACACCTGATATGATGTTAGTCTTCTATATGCCTACAAAACTGTTCTTCTCCAATCAGACATGAAATCTACAAGAAATTTTCTTTTAGAATTTGGTGCCAGAATGTTAACAATAGGTCATTTAATGGCTGCTGATTACATGATGGATGTTCTGCAGAGCAAATGTCTTTTGTTCAACCAATCCTATAAATAATGAATGGAATTGAGATTACAGTTTGGTGATCAGGGCAACACAGTGAAATATTTATGTTTCTGGAACCATTTCAATACAATTCAGGCAGAGGCTGGTAAAGTACATTGTCCTATTTAAAAATGCTACTATCATTTTAGAAACTGTTGCCATGTAGGGGTGTATCTGGTCTTCAATGATGTTAGGTAATACATTCCACTTGAATGTTAGGACTCGATGTTTCCCAGCAAAACAATCATCAGTTTTCAACCATCAAACTCTCCACTAGCTTGCTGCTTTCGCAGAGTAAATCTTGATATCATTGTTTCCCCAGGATAATGATATACATTGCCATTCACTTTGGAAGAAAATCAGATTCATCAAACCAGGTAACCTCTTTCTGTTGATCCAATTCCAATGATCACATGCTTCTTGAAGACTCTTTCAGTAGTGCATATGTGTTAGTATGAATATACTGACTGGCTTGCTGCTACCCAATCCCATATGCAAAAAGGATCAATGTACCGTGTTGTGACACATTCCTTGTATTAGCATTATCTAAAATTTGTGATACAGTAACTTTTATGTTGGTTCATGCTTTCATTTCTGACATTTATATATCTTGGTAGCTCAACGACTTCTCATCACTTGACTATTTTTCTTTTAAAAATCCACAAGATGCACTGTTTTGTAAATGCTCTGAAATAGTCTTCTGGCTATAACAGTTCACTGAAATCTATCTTCTTGCTCATAACTGCAGTATTCAATTCATTAAATTGAAATATTTGCGGTTGCTTATATAACTCTGACCTTGATAGACACAATTATAATGAGCTGTTAACCTTTCCCCATATCATTGATTATAATGATTTTAGTTTACAATGTATTTATTTTTATTTTATTTTTTTAGATATTTAGTTTTAATTTTTTTGTTTAAGGACTCACATTCCCTGAATGTAAATTTGATCCTCAGGATTATGGCCTTTATTTAAATTTACAGTCTAATCAGGTCAATTTGAAACATGGATTTGTGGTTACAGTGTTGTAGATATTCTTGGTATTTATTTACCAGAACTTTGGGAATAAAATAAATTAACTCAAGGGTATAAAATAAATAATATTTTTTATTTATTTGCTTTAGAGTGAGTCCTTTGCTATTCGGTGTAGCAAAATGGTCATTTATAAGGCAGATATTGGCAGCAATCTGGAAAAATATCCATTTCAGCTCAGTCATGGTGCTAGTGTTAGTCAGACCATGCTAGTGTTAGTAGTAATATTAGAATGATTTTATTTTCCATCATTCCTTTCTTTTACATTTTTTTTTTATAACAGAAGTTATGCATGGAGCCTGTCTTATTTTAGTAGATTTCTAATTATAAACAAGTAGGCTCTGGTACTGCAAACAGTGTTTTTCATTCAGGTTGTCTTCTATCTTTTTTTTTATTTTAGAGTTGCCTTCTTGTTAGTTGAGAGAGAAGTATAGAAATAAGTTTAGAGAGAAAGAAAGTGATAAGAATTTTAAAGGAAAGCACAAATGCCTTATTTTAATTTGAATTCTTTTTATTTTTGTTTATTTCAAAATAGACCTACTACATTTAGAGGATTTCTACAAAGCAAGCTTCTCACTTGCTATTCAATACCATTTGTTACTGTATTGACTAGGCACTCTCACCTAAAGTCTGTTGATTTTTCTGGCAAATGTGTATATTGCAGAGTTTTATGGGTAATTATTTTTTTGACAAAGGTGATTCCAGTCCTATCAAGGGAAAGTTAGTGGAGTGATTTCTTGTTGCTTTCATGGTTTAAATTCAGAGTTGTTCATCTCTGTCCGGTTGCCCTTCAAAAGAACAAAAAGTGTAGATTGCCTTAAAATTATATAGTTAGAGGGAGATAATATGAACACATGCTTTTCTTCTATGTCTTTAGCACAAATAACTTCACTTGGAACTGAATGCAGACTCTCAATTTTCTGCACTGATAATTGTCATGCTATCTGTACAGCCATTACTCAATTCATTATGTGCACAACTAATCCTAATATTGTTATTAATCTTTCCAGTTTTTTTGTTCTTGGGCACTAAGAATCTTATCAAGCCAATGAATTTCATACAAATCTTTTGGACAGTCCAAAAAAAAAACCAACACCAAATTATAGACTAATGTGATATATATATATATATATGTGTGTGTGTGTCCAGGTAAACTGAGAACAAATGGAGTATAATTCCACTGTATGTAACATTTAAAAGAGGGCTTAATACAGAGTAGAACTAAATATTATTTATTTTAGGATTGTAGTGATTTTTAACATGTTTTAATATCTTAAAATAAATAATATTTTATTTATATATATATATATATATATATATATATATATATATATATATATATATATATATAATGGCCAGCTACTGTTTTCCAAGCTAAAAGAAATTATCAAGTAATTAAAGGAAACAATATTCAAGTGGTGATTTTCTATAAGGTTTGAATCTATAAGAAGACAATACCATTGAATTTCAAAGGACAGAATTTATGAAGTGTTATCAAAATAATGATTGAAACTGATCCAATCTTTCTTTTCTTCTTTTATCTGTGTAATTAAAATCTTTTTTCTTTGTACTTGAAAATAAGCTTTTAAACTTATTATCTTTGTTTAATTTTCAGGGTAATTATATCACTGATATTGTAAAGAAAGAGGATATCAACATAACAATTGGATACAGAACCTGTCCAATTACATCACTGACAAACAAGGCCATTTACTGTAAGCCTTCATCAGTACCACCAGAGAATGCAGATCAGCATAAGTTTCAAGTCCGAGTAAGATCCACAATGATTTTTTTCATACCTAGAAGCACTTTCTTACTTTTATGCTGCTAACTATGATACAACTATCACTAAATCTATATTCTACATACATGATGGTATACAAGTTGCAATTTGGAATTGTATCATACTGATTTTAGGAACAAAGAAGCAAATTATAAGAAAATAGACTTAAAAGCTTCACAAAAACTTTATTTCAGCTGATTCATTATACATGAAAAATTATCTATTACCAGAGTGTGTTGCTTTAACTAAAGCAAAACAAATTGTTAGTGAAACTATGATTACACAGAAACATATGGCTAGTTGAAAAAGTATCTTTTCCTGACCAGGAATTTGTGAAATAAGGAAATTTAATCAAGTATTTTCTGCTGTGGTCATAAAATTGATAAAGACTTAATGTTTCCTTTTTTTTAGTTGTAAAATCTGTTTTAATTTTTCTACCTTTTAGTGTTTAATGACTTAAAAAATCCTGTTTATAGGAAAACATTTTATACATTCTCTTTACCTAAGTTCCTTAAAGTGTCAACACATATGTTTCTAACATAAAGTAATTTGAATGAGATATAACTTTATAATGCTATTCAGCATAAATACTTGTTTTGATTTGACATCTGTTCAATTGATTTCAAAGTTTTTTACCAATGAAATCTTCATTGAATAAATTTGAATTAAGGAATTCAGAATAAAGAAATAATTTCAAACCAGACTTAATTTTTTGCCTAATACCTTGTGACCAATGGATGATTATGGAGCAATGAAAAATATTGGGATAAAAAGCAAAAATAAAAAAAGAGTTTGACTAAAAAAACTAAGAAAATGTTTTTGTCTCTGAAAATGATTTTGTATTTTCAAATTTCAGGTCAAAATTGGTTACAGAAATTATAATATTGGTTGGCTCATCTTTACCTCATCCAGCTCATCTCAAGTGAATATTCTTATCATTGTTCTGGTTGTGATTTTAATCTCTGTTGTCAGTGTTATTACGGCCCTCTTTTACTACATGTGGAAAAAGAAATTGTTATTCTTTAAGGAAAGGAGACGTTTACCTACAGCCAGGTACACAACAAATGATCAGGTCCACTTTGGTGAAAATGGTAGATTGATTACTGCTGGTAATGGTAAGAAACAAAAATATTTCATTAACTCTAATGTGCCTTTCTCTAGCAAAACCAACTATGTATCCATACTTTATTAATAGAAGCTTTGATGTCTTTGATGTTTTCTTGAAAGTTTATTAAACACTTTTATAACAAAGAATAATGTTTTATTAAAGTTAAAAAAAGTCTTTCATGTTTATGTGACTCTTATAATGTGTTAAATGTCTTCTTTCCACAGCAAGGCATAATTTTCAATGTTGAAAGCCTGAGTTGGTAATGCTATCATATAGATAACAATCAAGAAAAATGGTAACATCATTATGATAGATATAATAGTTGCTTTTCATTATAATAAAATTTAGTAGCGTGGTACCCATTAAAAATGATGAGATTATTTACTGCCTAAGATTGAAATATTGTCCCCCAGCTCTCTACCACTCTGTGTGTAGTATCTGTGTACTCTGTGAAAAGTGTTACACATATGCAAAATGGTTGACAATGTGCTGAGCGTTCATTAGAATGTGAAAAAATTATCCCTTATGGAATTTTTTCTCTATAGGTTATAATGTCACACATTAAAGAGTGAAAAAACTGTTCCTTTACAGGCATTTCGAAACATTACCGCAGTATTCATAGTTGATTCTGTTCAGTGCCGGTTTTTAATTTTTGATATAAATTGCTTCTAGTATCTGTAATCTAATTTTGTTGTTTTCATGGTGTAGGATAGTTGTGTTATCGATTAGTAATTTTTTATATTGTGAATGCAGACAGGAATGTTGATGTAGATGTCTCACAATGGACAAATGGTTAAACATGTATAATATAAGCCTTCTTGTTAGTGTATTTGTCATATACCCATCATATATATTTGTTTTTTGTCAGAGATACATTGTCCCAAAGGACATTTAAATTGGTATAGAATGTTGGTTTTATGTAATACATCAGTTAGTGGGGAGGAGTTATTGAGAATAATTAAGTTGATTGTATTGTATTTTTTATAATATATGATTAATTTTATGTTTTTATTAGAATTCATAGAAGATAGAAAGTACTTGGGAAATGAAAATAAAAGAAATTTAAGCAGCTATAGCATATTTCTCTTTTCCTTCAACATCAATACATGAAAGGTTATTCGGGAGTATGAACGGATTTTGTTAAAAGTTAGCAGACATAATGTCTGTAATTTAAATTTTTTTTGTATAATTTCTTGTGTGTTCATATAGTTTTATCTTTTCAGTTATATTATCAAGGATGAATTTTATTTTAACTGATTCTTTTATGTATGTATCTAGAATTATAGGAATATTTTATTTTCCAAATGCAGTCAGCACATTGTGGCCATGTTCAGAGTTGATATAATTGAGTGTTGGCTTTTTCTTTTTTATTAATAATGCTTTTATTATTTTTTAGACTTTTTATCCATTTGGATGATGCTATTATATTTGTATTATCAACAAGTATGTTACAAATAGCGTGTGTTAAATCTCCATGTGTATTTAAATGAGACCTAATTGTGATATGATCAGAGAGATGTAATATGAGTCTTTTTCTTAAACATGTTGTAGTAGATCTAATATAATTATTTACAAATTTGGAATGGTCGGGAACACAGTTCCTTAAGGGACATGTAAATTTGTAAATAATATTAGTTCTCTGTAACTTAGATCTTGCAGGTGAATTTTTAATGATGAGATTAGCAGTTTTAAATTTTTTATAATAAATAATTTAATTTTCTTGTTTTTGTCAACTGGATTTGTGTATTTCTTTATGATATTTCTGAGGGAAGATTTATCTTTGCTTATAGTTACTATGCATTTGATTTTTGTAGAAAATGTGTGTTCGGTGTTGCTATTGGTTACCTTAGAAAGAAAAAGTCTGATATGGTAATTTATAAGATTGTCTATAAGTTTGTTTCATGTTATTAAGTTCTTTAAAGAAAAGCAGACGAGAGGATAAATTCTCATGCACTCTCATAAATATAAAAGTATAGCAAAAAGTGCCTGTAAAACATTTGGACAAATTACATATAATTTATGTCCTGAAAAGAAAAAAATTATATAAACATATGAGAAGTTCCATAAAAAACTCAACCACAAAACTTGAACACACACACACACACACATACATATATATATATATATATATATATATATATATATATATATATATATATATATATATATATGGACTCTCTTCATTTTTTGGAGACATATGAGTGTCTTTCAGTTCAGTTTTTAATCCTGTACCTGTCCCCGTTGCCTTAACTCTCTCGCCAGTGGACTTGTTGCTCAGGTGAAATAGCAAAGAAGGAACACAGAACTGAATTGCAGACTATGCACACAAAAGATTTGTTTAAAGTGGTGAAGGCTTGTGTAGAACCAGCCACACTTATAGGAAGTGCTGATAACAAGGAGATGGTGCAAATATTTGCCACGAACACAATGAAGGTTTTATTATCATGGAGTTATACCTCTTCGGTACTACCAGTGCACAGAAGAGTACTGCACCTTTCAATGTTAATTTCACGTGATTTAGCCCGCCTGCTGAAGCAGTTTACAGGGTTTGGCATGTGGAGGTTTAGGGAATGGGTGAAGAACATTTAGTATGAATTTTATTTCTTTACATTTTCTTATTTATTCATTGCAAAATAACGTAATTTCAATTTTACTGAAGACACATTCCCAGTTATAACATTATTTTGTTTCATTTTTACTGCTAGTCAATTTGTTTTATTATTTATCTTCCAAATTTTTTTTAAACAACAATAATAATATTAAATTTTCCCTTATACTTTATAATAATTTATACTTTGTAGCAATATATTGCACATTGATGACAAACTGTTTACTCCAACATCCAGTGTATGTTCTATGCATGTAGGAAGCAGTGGGTAGAAGTAGTACCTTTGTTACTTAGCTGCTGCCCTTATTATTAAGATGGACAGGCAACACTGGTCTTCACTATATATATATATATATATATATATATATATATATATAAAAGTAAACAGTGAAGTCAACACTCAGAGGCAGCAGGCTGTTTCATGCTAGACGCAATTGTCAGGCCACGAGTATTGCATTTTTCCTTGACTATTTATATATATATGGGTCAGTGATGCATTGTGGGTAATCCATTCTGGTGGTTATTTTGGCGGGAGTGGCTTATTTATTTATTTGGGTTAATTTATTTTACTTGTTTTTTATTTTCATTTTTTATTTTATATATTTATTTATTCTTTTCGGTTTTCTATGTTTTATTTACGTGGCTAAAAATTTTGGGGGGATTTGCTTAGGTCACTTATTTTACTTGTTTTTGCTTATTTATGTTTATTTTTATTAAATCTAACTGTTATTTTAGCGGGAGTGATTTGTAATTTGTTCATTTATTTATTTATTTTGGATTAATTTTTACTTGTTTTTTCTTATTTATTTGCATATTTTTTATCTTGTATATTTGTATATACGCTATTCAGTTTTCGATTTTTGAGTAATATAGTAATTTTTTTATCATTATATAGCAGTTATAGCTATTTTCTTGTTCAATTTTTGGATTCATTGTTGAAGTCTATTCTAACAGTTATTTTGGTGGGATTGGGTTGTTGTTTTGTTTATTGTTTACTTTATTTATTCGGATTGATTATTTTTACTTGTATTTTATGTACTTATTTTCTATTTTTATTTGTTTTATTTCATCTATTCTAACATGAGTTGTTTATTAATTTCTTTATTATTTCCTTGGGTTAATTTATTTTACTTGTTTTTTATATTATTTTGTTTATTTTTGTTTATTCTTTTCAGTTTTCAAGTTTTAAGTAATGTAGTAAAAATTTGTTTTCATGCCTGCATTTTGAGATGAGCTCAGATCGTGTATTTAGTAATTCATTTTGGTCTGGGAAGGTAATTATAGCTATTTTTTCCTCCAAGCAAAGTTTGCAGGCTTTGGATTGATTGTTGCAGGCTGATGATCTTTTCTTTATTTTCCATGATATTTTTGGTGTGATTTGCATTTTGTTTTTAATTTCCCAGATATACTTAAGAAAATATTAGTATAAATAGAATTCCAAATAATAAACAAACAAACTTTGGTTATAATAATTATTTAATGCTTTAATGTTAGGGTTAGGCTAAAATAGAATTCATTCTATTTAATAAATATTAAATTATACTATAAAATTCAAAATTACCAATTTTAAATTTAATCTATATTAAGTTTAAAATTATTTAAAGAAGAAACTGAGAAAAATACATGTTTTTCTATTTATTTTGTTTTTATTGAAATTAAGTTAGAATAAACGTTAAAATCTAATGCTGCTTAGATACATTTGGAGTGAAGACATGGGGAGGGGAGGATGAAATCTTGCAAAAGACAATACATACACAATCAGATTATAATACACAAACAGGCAGACATATTTGGATATATAAACACACAAAATGTGACGAGACAGGAAATATGTTCATGACCCTTAAAAAACAAAACAAAAAACCGACAGCATACACACACAATGAAAGGCATACACAAGACAAAAGCACACACATACAGTGACAAAGATACACCCATACACCCACCAAGAAATATTCAATTTTGAAAGTGTTATTAAGTGAATTCTAACATCCTATTAAAATATAACTTATACAAGCAAAGATATATAGATAAAAATGGTTGAATAGATAAAGTTCAACATGGGCAGAACAGAAAAACAAACATTCATCAATGAACAACATAAGGAAAAAAGGACACTAAAACATACAGACATGGACAGATAGATAGATATATATGCATAAAAATAACACCATCTAATATATAAAAAAGGAAACTCCCAAATACACAAATATAAATAACTATCTCATATGCGCATATATACGTACTAGTACACACATACGGGTACAAATATATAACATGTGAAAGAAAATAAAAAATAGAAGAAGAGTTGAAACAAAATGGCTATTTTTGTAGTGATTTTATAACATCTTTAGGTTAGAATTTGCGAATAAATAATTATATTTGCTCTACTCTGTATTGAGCACTCTTTTAAGTATAGTATTTTTTGGTTATTGGAATTTATTCCATATACACCAATCCTATACTTAAAATTATATATATATATATATATATATAGTAAAACTAACATAATATCAACACTTAGTGGCGACAAATTTTTCATGCTAGATGCAATCATCAGGCTGACGATTGCATCTAGCATGAAACGGACTGTCGCCTCTAAGTGTTGACTTCTATGTTCACTTTTATATGTACCCATGCTCTATCTCTGATATTGAGCACTTTATCCCATAAATATAGCACATCTTAAGACTATATTTCTTTATATATATATATATATATATACATACACACACATACAACCATATTTATTTACATTCACACTCATATTTGTTGGAAATTGGGCTTAAAAGCAACAACAAATTTAAGAAAATTTTATTAATTTATATTTTTCTGTTTTTGCATAAAGTGAATTGTTTTAATCCTAAATTCATCCTAAAACAAAATTTAAATAAATTTTGACCAATTTGTGATAAAATTTCACTCATCATCTCTCAGGCCCGTTTTTTCTTCTGTTGTGAGAAATTCTTTGTCTGCTGTTATTGTAACTTTTTCTGGAAAAATCAATAATGCAGTTTTCTTTTTAGAATACACAGAACGTCAAAACTTTCAACCTGTGGCAACAGTTGATAGTGGAGCCACAAATTGTCCAGGGATTGATGAAAATATTCTCTTAGTGTTAGGAGATAAAAAACTTCTTATCCCAAAAGAGTCATTGCAAATTACAGAAAAAATTGGTCAAGGTAATTACAGTTTTTTTGTTTTTTTTCCTTTTCTTTTTTTTTGTGGGGTGGGGGCTTTAAATTTAGGCAATAAACAATTTTAATATCTTTTTAATAGGATCAGTTTTTCATTTCAAATAAATTACTTAAACCCTATTTTTTTTATATAGACATTTTAATAGATTGATTTTACTAGATTAAATAAATGAACTAAAACTGTTTTCCTGTACAGTAATTAATTAGTAATTGAATCTATAATATATTTTTGTTATCTTGAACTGTCAGTTTTTCTGTTAGTTTAATTGATAATTGGTTCCATGATTTAGATCATTGAACTACCTGATCCTTCATGGAATTTTTAAAACAACAAGTTTATCAAGAGTTTTATGAAGTTTTCTGCACAAACCATGTCATTATCTATTAGATATTTGATTGAATTTTCTTACAAATATTTTTTCATTTTAGGTCATTTTGGCCGTGTTTATCGTGCCTTGTATCGAAAACCTGGGGAGAAGGGAGAAATGTGTGTGGCTGTAAAAACTCTTCACAGTAAGCTCTGTCATATGATGCTATTTTAGAAGTTATTTGAGAAGTTTAAAATTATATAAATTTTCTTTTTAAAAACTTAATGTTTATTTCTATTTAATTTTGTATTCATCAAAATTACCTGTGCTGTATTTTTAATCTCTTTCTGTTAAATTAGAAACTTTTGATTAAAAAAGGAAAGTTTCACAATTATTTCATAATTAGTTAAATTTTTATAATTTCTTTGAGCAAATATCAAATTGGAATAAAATTATGAATTTTACCATGTGTGAAAATAAATTTTTTAAATTATCCTTTTCAACATTTTTTATTTTTATTTTTTTTCAAATCCAATCATTGTAATCTCTTCAGTTTATTTACATTCTTCCAAACCAAATTTAAAATCCAAAACACACAAGATTTATGCTTTCAAAATGTGGTATTTGATATGCAAATTAGGTGCTGAAATGTTCTTGGTCTAAATCATTTGCCAAAATATGATAAAATGATTAAATATCAAATTTTTTTGATGGGGAAGGACTACTTGGTCAGAACTTTTTAGTATTTCCTCATTTATTGCTTTGATTTTGTCAACACTTGTTTATTTGATATAATGAAAATTTATCTTGTATTATGCTGTGAATTGTTTTTTTTTTTCTTGCTTATTTTTCAGAAGATCATCCAAGAGATATGGATGTTCAAGGATTTTTGGATGAAGCTTTAATTATGAAGGATTTTGATCATGAAAATATTCTCTCCTTGATTGGAATCTGTTTAGGCAAAGACCACATGCCATTGGTAGTGCTCCCTTACATGGCACATGGGGATCTTCTCTCATACCTCAGAAATGTAAACAATGTAAGTCTCTTTAAGAAATACCAAGACACCATCTAAAATCAAAATATTTTTTCTTTTATACAAATTTTTACTGATTTATAAAATATCAATAATTTGTCTAAGTTAAATAAATTTGATAATTCTTAGTTAATGCACAAATAAAAATCTAAAATTTATTGAATGAAATTAAATTTCAATTAAGAAAAGAATTCATAACTCATTTCAAGACTGATAGAACATTTGTTTTTGTTTTTTAATAATAAAATATTTTTAAAATTTTTTCTCTAAAGATTAGGAAAATTCCAAAGAATTTGCTTTAATACAAACAAAATTTAAAGAACAGTGGAGTCAAAAATAAGTTGTATTTATTTATTTATGTTTTGAGCAAAATAATATAAGTGAAAACCTCTTTATGGCTGTTTTTAAAAATTACTTTATTGTTTTTTGAAATATCATTTGGTAAATAAAAATACCAACTCTGGATGAATATGAAATGTTATTATTATATGAAAGAATTATGAAGAGATTTTCTTCCAATTAGAATTCATAAAACTCAAGTAAATGATTTTCAAAAGAGTTAAATTTATTTTTCTTTTGATATTCATTTTTCATGTGTTTTTCAAAATTACTGATGGAAATAATACCTGGCCTTGAAAATGTCAACTGTAATGATATAATTATTTACCTGCTGCCCCACGCAGCAAGATGTGGCACAAGGCCAAGTTTAAAGTGGGATATCCAAGCCCATAAGCTCGGGCAAAAATTCCCTATAGACCAAGTAAAAATGGGGTCAGTTTCCCAAGACGAGACTCTGCCCTTCAGCAGAGCCTCGTCTGGAGGATACCCTCTGACATAAGCCAGGTAAGTATAAGGCCAGTGACAGTGTACATTTCTCTTACTTCTTGATAGAAAGTTATCTCTTACTTCTTGATAGAAAGTTATATTGAAAAGCTTTTCAATATATTTTTTTTAAGTATAACAATATAATTAGAGATTGTTCTACTTGTACATTGATACACTTGTGATTTCAACAACTGGAAAATTTAGAATTCAGATATCTAGTTAAAAAGTTATCAACATTTCATGTGAATTGTTAAGGAGTGGTGATTTTTTTTGATAAATGAATAAAATAAAATAAATAATTGCTTGTAAATTGGTAGCCCATACCATTTTACAAGTAATCATTTATTTTCCTTATCATATTAAATTTTATTTCTCTTGTTTTTATTTAGCAACCAACAGTGAAAGATTTAATTGTATTTGGCATCAGCATTGCATCTGGGATGGATTATTTGGCAAGCCTCAAGTTTGTCCATCGAGATTTGGCAGCTCGAAATTGCATGTATGTATTTTTAATACCATAAAAGAAAATTTGAGTAATTTTTTTAAAAGTGATACTTTTTTATTTATTATATTTAACATAAAAGCGTTTATCAAACTGTGAACAATAAGTAATGAAACTTACCCTTCTCCATTCAGCGCATCCTTTAATGTTATATTTGCTTAAAAGGCTAGGAAATTATTCTTTGTAAAAAAAAAAAAAAAATAGGAAGAAATCACAGACCTAAAAATATTCAATCTGTAAAATTTCAGTTTACTTCAATGTTTGGGTTTTGTTATTTCTAAAGAATATGAATTTGAATTCATGAAATAGTTCATATTTAAATAAATGAATCAAAATAACTTCTAAGTAATAAATTCATTTCACATTAATAAAAATATTTTGCTTTCCTTCCTGAGAAGTTCTGTGTTTATAATTGTTACAAGAGACGATTCATTTCAGGAATGGTCAGAAATTGTTCGCTTACACTTAAAGATCCTTGAATTTGAATGCAACAGATATGCATTAATCTGTAGCCTCTTTTTATTTAAAAAAGTTCAGAGTTCAATTCCTTGCAGGCATTTTAACTTTTTCATGCTCTCATTAAGTAATTATACTTAACATAATTCATTGGTATAATTTTCTATTTTAGTAAAATATTGCTTGTTTACAAATTGAACAGTTAAAATGCATTATAAAGATATGTGAATTAAGTATATATTACCACAAATTTAATCAATAAAATTCCTACTGAGATAAATCCAAATTTTAGTTGAAAATATATTTTAGATAAATAACAAAACTGTTAAATATTTTTCTTTCTTCTTCATTTAAGTCTTTGTAAGCTGAAAAATTTCTACTTTTAGTTTTTGTCTTTCATCCAGATTTTCTGATTTTACAATTTTTTTAAATATTTGATTTTTTTTGTATAAATAGTTTTTTTTTGCAAGAAATTTTGTCAGCAAAAAGTAAAATTTAAAAAATCACTGACACTATTTTATTCATTTTGTTCATTATCATAAACAATTTTGAATAGAACTGTGTTAAAAGATTTTGGCAAACTAAAAGATTAAATGTAAAAAGGGAGAAGAAAATAAGGAAAAAGGTGAGAAAGGATAAAGAGAAAAAAGAGGAAAATATAAAAGAAGGAAATAGTTAAGAGAAATGAGTAAAAATAAGTAAATGAATCAAAAACCATTATTACAATTGCTTTTTAAAGTCTGAATATTTCCTCCAGAAAATTAATGGACTTATCAAACTAGATGCTGATTTTTGATCCCAAATTTAAAAATTAAATTTTTTAATGATCCCAAGTTTAAATATCAAATTGTTTAAATTCAGTCATGAAAGTCAAACATTTAGATATTTTTTAAAAACACATTATTTTTGGCTTTTGTTCTAACCTCATTTATAAAAAAAAGGATAATTCATTTAAATTCAATTTTTGTGGACTGATTAAAAAAATATATGAAAAATAAATCATTTTACATGTAAAGACATTTATTTGTTTTGTATTGTAACAGGTTAAATGATAAACTAGTAGTAAAAGTAGCAGACTTTGGTTTGTCACGTGATATATATGAGCGGGATTATTACAGCAGTGATAATAAAAAATCCAAGTTGCCTGTCAAGTGGATGGCCTTAGAAAGTTTGGAAAATGGCACCTACAATACAAAAACAGATGTTGTGAGTCACTCTTTTTCTTTTATTTATTTTGATTAGTGCAATGTTTCTGCAGAAAAATGAAATATTTAAATTGTGATCTTTTATAGATACAATGGCTTATGTGATAGTCTTACATTTATTAAGATATTATATGATTAAGCATTTTTTTTACTAATAAGATATCAATATAATTTCTGAATTCATTTTTGGTGTATAAAAGTATTTTATTCTAACTATAAGTGGATGAACATTTGTTCCTATATTTGAGTTCATTTTCTTTTCATTCAGACTTTAGTTTTCATGATTTTCTCTATTTAAAATCAAGTTTTGCACAGTCTAGCACAAATTGCTTACTCTACATAATTGTAGGCCTCTGTTGTTGCCACCCATCCTGGTTCATTGTTGCTTAACTTTTGTAATCTTATTTACTAAGTTTTGTAAGTTTAACATATATATACCTCAGGTTGTTTACTGTAGTTGCTGTTTCGTAGTGATCACTCATCTAAGAACTGAGCTCATTTCTGCTTAACTTTGATGAGCTTTACAGAAATCAATGCTTTTTGTGTGATTGGAATGCAAGTCTAAATGTTGTCTCTTGTTGATGTATATTAAGACTTGGAAAAAAATCACCATAATCATAGACTAACTTCTTGTGGTTGTCTTGGCTTGTTGACTATACACTTGAATGCAATAAAAAAAAATCCTGTTTCAAATATTAATTATTGAATCAGTATTGATTATGGTAATTTGTAGTGTTCTACTTCTATGGCTCACCTGTAAATGATGGAAATATCTCTCACAAGCTTAACATACATGGCATACATTTTTTCTTTGTTTCTTCCTTATTTACATGACTAACTGTTTTTAAAAATTCATAAATATAAAATTAAAAAAAGCAATAAAAAATAAACATTGACATTCAATTGTAAGGGCCTTAAATTTTTTGATTGATAAATATTCTCTTGGAAGAATATAAAATGTATTCTTCCAAGCATACTTTATTAATAATACTCTACATTTTATTCTTCAATCTTTAAGAATATAATAATGTTTTTGTAGTTGTTGTATTTTTTGTTCACTACAATAAAAATTTTTATTATCTTAATCCACAAAATGTTGCATTACAACTTGTTGAGTCCATTGTGAACATAGAATACTAATACCACACAAATGTTACAATTATTTTTTAATTTCAAATAATAAATTTCCACTTAATAAACATAACATATTCTCTATAAAGCAACTATTTTTAGTTTTCCAATTTTTACATTTCTTCAATTATATTTTTGGAGAGAAATTCATTGTATAAATAAAAATTCTTTCTCATTATCTTTTTAGTGGTCATATGGTGTGGTGTTGTGGGAACTGTTTACTAGGGGAGTTAACCCATACCCAACTGTTGACAACTGGGATATGCCAAAGTATCTAAAATTAGGTAGAAGAATGGACAAACCTGATTACTGTCCAAACAGAATGTAGGTATTTTTTTTTTATTTTGGCATTTAAAATTTTCTCATAGTTTTCTAATAAAAGTATCTGTAAACATTAATTAATATTTTAATGTTATTTTTTGTTTTCCAGTTATGATATTATGCTTCGCTGTTGGGAATTTGACCAGAACTTACGACCTGATTTTGCAACAATTATTAATGAACTAACTGAATTGAGTGAAATGGAGAAACACAAGGACCTCCCATGTTATCAAAAGACACCTTATGAAAATGTAGAATATTGAAAAATAAAAACACAAGATATCCAAAAACATTTATGCATCTAAACAAGTGATGAAAGCATTTCTAGCTTTAGAGTTGATAGAATAGCTCTTCCTCCAAAAGATTTTGAGCATTCAGTACACTACATTACTGTATTTTCTGAAAGTAAAACTTCAAGACACAAAAAATGCTATTAGTTAAAAAAAAATTATTTTGAACAATGCACAATACAAGACCTATAATTTCTTTTCTTTTTTTTTCTTTTTTTGACAGAAAATGCAAGGTGTGGTTTGTTTTTATCTTAATGTCTTTTTTTACTGTTTTCTTGTTTTTTTTAATTTTTAAGTTTTTAAATGTGAAAATTAAGATACCTGTTTTTTTTTCATTTTAAAAGCAAATACTAGTTTTTAGATACTATTTTTTAAAATTTCCCCCACCAACTTGTTTGACGCTTGTTTTATGTTGAAATAATCTTTAGCCACAAGAACAAATTAGCAAAGTTATTGTTAAAAAGTAAGTGCCTAAAGATTGGTGAAACCTCCAGTTTTTAAGCTATAGCATAAACAATTGTATTGTATAATTTTTGCTTATTCAAAATCATCCAGAAATTACTCATGACAAATGATTTGAGGAGAATAATTTGAAACTATCAATGATAATTTATCTTAATTTTGAGATGTGAAATCAGCATTATTATACATTGATTTATTTAAACTGGTGTCCTCATTCTTGGTTTAGTCACAACATTTCAGCTGTTGTATTCTCCAGCCTTTTTCAGGTATCTGTTGCATACAGTAATTTGGGATTATTTAAACGAATCCTTTATACAATCCATGGGATCAGACTGTTCACAGTAAATTATCAATGTTAAGGGAGATAACTCGTACTATTTCGTGTTTGTGATGCCAGTGCTGCTTGTTTTACTGAACCAGAGTATATGAATTTCTCTGTTTGACACAAAGTAGATTGGATTGGATTGGTGGATTTTACAACATATCAACCCATGTTGGGTTATTTACCGTTAAAGTTAGTTATTTTAATTATTATTATCATTTTATTGTATTCGACTACAATAAATAATTAGTTGTGTTTATACATAAGCGTGCCAATATCTGCTTGGTAGGTTGCCACTTTTTGGGGTAGGAATCTTACAGAGGATGCAACTGGCACAGTAATTGAACTTGTGACCCTTTGGTAACTTTATACACTTAAACCAATGTTTATATACACTAGGCTATTGCATGTTTTTCTCATGTGTAAAAATGGCAAAATGGAAAAAAAACTTTTTTGTGATACATTTTGTTCTGAAAAGGAAAAGGAGAAACACAAAGACTGTCAGTTACATTTTACATCAAAACATTCAAGATAAAGATACTCAAATTTAAATTTTGACTTTCAATGTATAGATGTTTTACTTGGCCTATTTCATTCAGTTTTTATTGCTTTTGTTTTTATTTTCATTGATATTGTTATAGTTTTAATTATCTTATATTGTAACAGTAGTAGTTTGTAAGGAAAGGAAATTTATTGAATGATCCTGCACATAAATTTATCAAAGAATTCTGAAATTAGTGCACTTTCAATACATTTTCACTTTAATAAATTACTTTCTCTTTTAATAAAAAAAAAAAGGCATTCTTTAAAATTATGGTCAGACCTATTACAATGTATGACTAATGCTTTGAGTGTATTATTTTGTAAGAGATCCCTTTTATGTTCATATAATCTTTTATATAAATTTCTAGATGTATCACCTATGTATTTTTTGGGACTATTTACAATTGATTTTATAAATTCCTTCTCCAGGTTTAATGTTGTACTATTTTGTTTTGTGTTGATTGAATTACATTATTTTTTAAGTAGTCACGATAAATTTTTATATTACGTCTAAATAAATTATTTTCAGTTGTAGTCATTATTGAGTTCATAGCTAGTGCTATGTACCTAATTTTATCAAGGTTATTAGTGTTATTTTATTTTTTTGTTTTTGTGGATTTTGTAAGATTTTCTCTTCACATTTTATATGAAATAATTATGATATTGAAGAATTCAAACTATTTTCAATTTATTTTTCTTCATGTAAATATTGAGGACTACAAATGTTAAATACTCTTAAATAGAAACCTATAATTATCACAGATTTTATTTTCTTGTGGCGTGTGTAGACGTTTGAGATCATTTTTAGTGGGTTTTTAGTAGCATTTAGCTCTAGATTGTTATCAATGTAGTTTAACATGATATCCAGAAACAATCAGTATATTGTTTGTTTCTGTTTCATAAGTAAATTCTATGTTCAATGTACTTTAGTTTACTTACAAGATGAGGTAATATTATTTTATATGGATATATTAATAAAGCATCATTACTATATTGGAAATATGCAAAATCATTAGGTAAAATATTTTGGTAAAAAAACAATTTCTAAAAATATTGTTAATCCAACTTTCTGTCTATAAAAATGATCAAAAGTGAAATAACATTGGTTTATAATAAGTTGGCAAATCCCTATAATTTTATCTATCTATAGGGAGATGTTAGTTTTTGATTTTAGTAGACCTTTCTTTAGGAAATTTAAGCATTGTTAACTGGTACATTAGAGTATAGACTTAATATCTAAACATGCTACAAGTTTATCTTTCATATTTATGTATTTTACTCTTTTGACAAAGTCACTGGATTATTTAATTGTTCCAAGAAATTGTGTTAAAATTTTTGTTATAATTTTCACTAGGCTATAGGAAGCACTTCCAATTCTAGATGTGATAGGTTGCATAGGATTGCCTGCTTTGTGTGTTTTTGGTCTGTATATTTGATCAATTTTGACCTTATTAATTAACTTTCTAATCAATTTATTGAATTTTTGTGTCTCAGTAACTATTTTATGTTCCTCAATTTTTTTTCCGAAATATTTGTATCATGGAGTAAAAATTTTTATTTTTTACATTATAGATATTCTTATCCATGATAATAAAATCTCATTCCTTTGTTCAAGGCAGTGATGGAATCTTTTTATTTTGGGCTAAATTTTCTGGTACTTTCACTTGTCTTTATGTTAACATTGTTTCATTGTCTGTTCCTAATGTAATCTTAATTATTGTATTGTATATAGTTTCAAATACTCAAAATTAGAAAATTATTACTAAAGATCAGTTTATTGCATATACAACTTAATTGTTGAATAAGAATAATCGGGATAAAAAGTATCCATAACCTTAATGATTTTTTAATAATTATATAATAATAATTAGTGAATTTATATATGTTTGACATTTTGAGATTTTTCTTGATTATTCTATGATGTCATAAAAAGTGATTCCACATGTGTATGAATGTTGCAGAACAAACATTTCTGCCAGACCAAAGACAAAAAGCACACCATGAAAGTCAGGAATAATATTTTGGAAGAGCATAAAAAAGGAAAAGGCTAAAGTAGTTTAACATTCCAATAATATTCCATTCCAGCATATAGATTAAAAATAAAAAAGTAACTTAACTAAAATCTAGTGCTTCAAGAAAGATTTTAAAACATTTCTGTTCAAAACTTGTTTAAATGGTCAAAGAGAAATATTACTGGAAAAGTATTGGTTGACAACAATGAATGGGACAGTTGTAACATGCCAGAAAATATATAACACTTTGCAGCAGGAGGAAATAGAAAAATGCCAACTATACCAAGTACTGCAGGCAGACCTATCAATAAAGAAGAGACCTATTTCAAAACATTTTGGCAGTAATGATAGTACTTTGTGAAGGAAACTGAACAACACTTATAAGCCAAGGAATACCATATCCACTATTAAGTATGGTAGTATCATGTTGTGGGGATGTTTTTAATCTATGGGTACAGGAAATATTTACATAATTGAAGGAACTTGACCATAGTATCATGCAATTTTAGTAGGATATCTAATCTTCTCTGTTGGAAACATGAAGTGAGGCTGGGTGTTTTAACTGGATGCACAGTATGGGAGACTAAGACTTGGTTGAAGAAGATGCATATTAATGTTCTTGAGTGACCCAGCCAATCACCAGATCTGAGCCTGATAAAAATGTTACTACATTGAAGGAAATATGCAATGAAGAATGTAAAAATTACCAGCAAATCACTGCCCAAAGCTTGTATCCTCCAAGAAATGCTTGGCAGCAGGCTTGACTAACAAACTTTATGCTACCCAGTATCAGTTAGTAATGTCCTAGATGTTACAGATACTTATTCTTATTTCTCAAATAATTTGTTGTTTATACAATAAATTGATCTGTAATGTAGTGTTAATTTTTTAATTTCTATTTTTTGAACTTGGTAGATATCAAATTTTATACTGCTGTGATAAATGTACATGCATTTGATGAAATGATAAATATTTTATACATTATGGATATTTATTTGGGCATATATATATATATATATATATATATATATATATATATATATATATAATATATCCTATTGATATTCAGCTATGCTAAAATATTCAGATTATTTGTTTTTAGCTCAACAAATACAGCATTACCTTAAGATGCCACAAATGATTATTTTTAAATACCAAAATGCTCTGTTGCTGACAACTGCTTTTAAAGATCACATATTATGCAATCTCAAAATCTGTCTTACAAATATAATTTAATTGGGTTGGTGACTAAAATAATTTTTTTTTATTAAAAGATGCTGTATGTTTTGCATTTTTCTTTTAAATGTAATCTTTTTCTGTACCTTTTGAAACAAAAATATTCAGACATTTTATGGTTAATATGGGAAGAATAATAAGAGTTATTAATCTTCCAAGAGAGTTGTTCAGGCTCATCATGCTGCTATTGTTGTTACTATTTAATTGGTCATTTTATTTGGTATACAATCACTCTCTCTCTCTCTCTCTCTCTCTCTATATATATATATATATATATATATATATATATATATATATATATATTAAAATTTATTTTATATGACATTTTTATTACATCAAACATTATTTTTAGTGGATACCTATATTTGAAATAGACACTGTCTTTTAAACTGTATTTA